ATTGTAATAGGTCCAAATGGCACAGGAAAAACCCATGCCATCATCAGTGCATTGAGTTATTTGGGATTAAAGTACAAATACGTTGAACTTTCAGAATCTAAAATAAACAAGCCACTAAACAAAGAATGTATCATTCACACAGTCTTGTACAGCTTTCAAAGCCTAGATAATATAAAGTACGATAAAAACTTGATAATTGAGACAACATTACATGGAATAGATGGGAGATTCAACAGTTGTACAGTTGTAAAATTCAATCAAAAAGTATTCAAGGAAAAACCAATACTTAGACACAAAAAATACAAAGAGAAGTATGAATATCAATTAGATATATTCAGATTTGTAGGAAGAATATTTTATAGAAAACTCAAGGTAAAAGACCTTGAAAATGATGAGCAGACAATTTATTATAATTGCTTAAAAGCGAATAAGGATAATGCGATTAGCCATATTGCAAATACTGTTGTTGATCCAAAAGAGAATTGTGAAAACAAGGAGTTATATGAAACAGTATCCAGAAAATTCATATTAGAGGAAAGTGAATCTGTCATGTCTAATGGAATGAGCATTTCCATTTCATTTGAGGAAGATGATATATTTGACAGTTCTGATGACAACAAGGCAATAGTTTATAGTAACGACCCTATTTCCATGTCAGTTATAAAATTAAAAAAACTCATTTCCACAGACTTTAAACAGTTGGAGTATAATCAAGAATGCAATTTGTCATTTGATATTAACATAATTGAAAGATTTATCTATGAAAATTTCCCATACTTTATCAAATTAAAGGATGTTTCTACGGTATATGATTGCTTGAGTCTTACAGGATTGCACAAAAGATTCTTTCTTAGTTTAATTGAATCAATTTTGAAAAGTGAACCTAATGAAAAGAACAAATTCTTTAGTTTTAAATTAAAAACACGATTGAACACAGCAGATACCACATCTATTAAAGGTATGTGGCAATATCAATTTAATCTAAATTGAAAATACATGTTCATAGACAAAGTCAATACATTGTAAATTTAGGACCAATAAACACACTTTGCACTCTTTTCAAGATATATTATATATAACAGATAATATTATTAATTTTAACTGTAAAATGAACTCAAAAATTAAATAATATTTCTTGAATGTTCTTATTTAATTTTTGAGTTCATTTTACAGTTAAAATTAAATGAATAAAGCAAAAACCCATCCTATATAGATTTAAATCACTTTTGTACCACAGAGTTAGGTCAGGTGGCATTTAATTAGGCCATATTAAATATCAATACAATATATTTTCTTATTTGATTCAAAAAACAATTAACTTTCATTACTTCCTCTTCAATTGTTTTATAAAAAATTTACTACCCTCCCTCATGAGAGAGATCATCTCCCTTCACATAGGACAAGCAGGTATTCAAATTGGAAATGCATGCTGGGAACTCTATTGTAGAGAGCATTGTATAAAACCGGATGGAACGCTAGAAGAGAATGCTATTGATGATGAATCAAGCCATTCTTTCTTTTACAGAACCTCTACGAATTCATTTGTTCCAAGAACAGTAATGGTTGATTTGGAACCAGGAGTCATAAATGAAATAAAGGTAGGGGAATATAAAAATCTATTCCATCCTCAAAATTTAATTTGCGGAAAGGAAGATGCAGCAAACAATTATGCCAGAGGACATTATACTGTGGGAAAGGAAATTCTCGAGCCTGTTATGGATGAAATACGAAGAATAGCTGGTAACTGTGATGGATTGCAAGGATTCCTAATCTTCCATTCGTTTGGGGGCGGTACGGGATCAGGATTTGGGTCACTTTTGATGGAAAATCTCGCTACTGAGTATGGAAAGAAAAGCAAGCTTGAATTCAGTATATATCCCTCACCTAAAGTTGCTACAGCAGTGGTCGAACCATATAATTCAATCCTAACTACACATACAACTCTTGAATATTCTGATTGTGCATTTTTGGTTGATAATGAAGCTATTTATGATATGTGTAAGAATTTGGGTATTGAAAGGCCAGCCTACATTGACATTAACAGAATTATTGCACAAGTGGTATCATCTATTACAGCATCATTGAGATTCCAAGGACCATTGAATGTGGATCTTACAGAGTTTCAGACTAATCTTGTTCCATATCCACGCATTCATTTCCCTCTAGTCGCGTATTCTCCAATGATATCAGCGCAGAAGGCATCTCATGAAGGGTTGAGTGTTCAAGAAATCACCAACAATTGCTTTGAACCATCAAATCAAATGGTAAAGTGTAATATTAAAAAAGGGAAATTTATTGCATGTTGTCTACTCTTCAGAGGGGATGTAAAGCCAAAAGAAGCAAACCAAGCTACTGCTAATATTAAAGCCAAGAAAGCATCCCAGTTTGTTGAATGGTGTCCTACAGGATTTAAGATTGGAATTAATGAAAAAAAGCCAGCAGTTCTACCAGGATCAGCAATGGCTGCAGTCAGCCGAGCAGTATGTGCATTATCGAACACAACTGCTATTGCAGAAGCATGGTCTCGACTTAATCACAAATTTGATTTGATGTTTGCTAAGCGTGCGTTTGTCCATTGGTATGTCGGTGAAGGTATGGAAGAAGGCGAGTTCAGTGAGGCTAGGGAAGATTTAGCAGCGCTTGAGAACGATTATCGTGATATTGAAGTAGCATGTGTAGCTGACGAAGATTAAAGATATTTGATTCAACTATTTTTAACATATTAGTTAAAGCGATACTGTAAAAATGCCAATAATTTCAATAAGGCCTTAAAAGTTTTTGCATAAATCGGTATCAGTTTTGTAGTTAAAATGTCAAGACAATATTTTATTTAAATTTGTTTTAGTCCTAACTTTATTATTGTGAATGATTGATAGGATAAACAGTTTTATGTTAAAAATTTTAATAAACAAAACTATTGCTAACGAGTATTGTTGAACTTCTTTAAACTTTGATGACAGATAAAAAATTTATGACTAAAATAAATATATGATTAATAATTTAAAGCTAGCAACAAGTTGTAGGAAAGCTGATTTATTTGCCTCCAGCGAGAGTCGAACTCGCGTCTTCAGATTATGAGACTGACGTACTAACCGTTATACGATGGTGGCTAGAAATACATTTAAAATGGAATATAAAAGAATTAATCCATAAAATATTTGAAACCAAAGCAATATGAATCAACACAACCATTTTCAGTCTAAATTATTAAATTCTGATTGATTTATTTAAAAGGTTAAACATTTGATGTTTCTTCTTGTTTTTTGGATATTTTTGACATCAAAAATGAATATGCTTTCAAACATACTTCTTTGACTTTTTTTATAATTGCATATGTCTTTTCTAAAGTTTTTTCATAGAAGGAAACAATAATAATTCTTGTATTTTCAAGTGTATTCTTCACATCTTCAGTGATGTTCTTCTTTTCACATTTCTCTTCTTCTATATTTCCATAATTGTTCTGAGAATGAGGCAAGCTTGGCTGCTCTACTGCTGAATCTTCGACATTTATTCTAATATCTTTACTGGAATCTTCGTTATTTTGAACTTCCTCGTTCCCAGTAGTATCTATATTTTTGTTTTCAGACATAGGAAGAGTGAAATTCAAAAATTTTAACAGAATAAAGTAAAATTAATAAAAGATTAATATAAAGCAACATCAATAGCATAATATTTGAAAAATATGGCAACAAAGCTTAAAGTTTAATTATATCAAATATGAATATTTACACTGGATCATTGATGACTTTCAGTTATTGAAAAGAATGTGTTAGTAAAGCTCACTGCAAGATGAGTATTATTTGCTTAAAAACTGTAATGAAGCTGTCAAACACTTCAATTTAGCATAGACCATTTTATATGGTTTTGTATAGCAAGTAACTATTGTAAAGATGGGTATTATTTAAAAAGGAATGTCTTATTTGTACTGATAAAGATTCAAGTACATAGTTTAAAGTCTAATCAATTCAAGAAACGCTTATCCTGCAAAATAATTTATTCAAAAAGGCATGAGTCTTTTCTGCATTCATGTCAAAAAGTCTGAATTCACTTAGACTAACTAACTTTTGTGTTATTTAACTACCAATTTATTTAGAATTATCAATTTACTTGGATTTATTGAATGGCACCGTTTGAAATATTTAAATCTACAGGAATTCAATTAATTGTTAATAGATTAATGTTAAATCTAACAAATACATCTGCAATTAAAACTTAAAGTCAAAAGTAATTAGTGATTTAGCTCAGAAATAGCATAAAACAAAAGTAACAATACACACAAATAAAGGGAATACTCCTTACTTTCTGGTACTTATACAATATGCAGTCATTTGGCTACTTTACAACTCCACTGTTTTAGTAGAGATTGATAATAACTAGTACAGTAAGCTATTGTAAAACAACAAGCACTTTCTCATAATAATTCTTATACTTTCATCTACCCGATGATTGACACTATCACTTGGAATAAGCTCACAACAAACTAACCAATAAACAAGATCTAGTCGGATGTTGGTGTATGTTTACGAGCTACTCCACACAGGTACAGAGTATTGCTAAGTACTGCACACAATCACCATTCCAGTTACAAACTAGACTCTTCAATCTTGCAGATTGTCCACTAGCAATAGCTTATGCTATTCCCATTATCTACTTGTGTTGTGTGTTTATTCCTAATGTAAATTTGTATTTACAAATGGCTCTTTATAGTTTTAGCCTGTGCCAGAGCAGTACTAAAAATTACAACTGTAAGCATTGTCTCACTTTTTATATTCTTTCAATTACAAAGATATTCGAAACAACACTGTTTCAAATAAACATAAAGTGAAATAAACAAACAAAGCCATGAAATGGACCAAGTATTTAATTATTATAGGTTGTGTTTTCAAAAACAGCAATCAAAGCGTGCTCAAAAACCCTCCAAACTTAAATAGCATCGCAGAAACTGAGCCAAAAAATCAAGTTTTAGAAGTAGTCATTAAAAATAAAGAATGCACGGACAAGACCGAAGGTAGACTTGAAAGCAGTAATGTAAAAGAATGTTCTAAGTCTGAAAATAATACTTTGAAGGCCAGGATCCAAAATATCAAACTGAATCCGACCAAGGACGATTATTTTAACACCCAAGAAAAATGCTATGTTGTCAACACCACATTCGTGCCTGTTTCTGATATTGAAAAACTAGTTGAGGAATTCCAAAAACACCAAAAAGCTGTTAGATTTATTTACAAAAGGAATATTCTGGGATTTTCGTTCTGTGCCCCATACAATATTGTATCAAAAATAGTAGAATCAATTACTGGAAAATACTCGCTTGTAAATATTGAAGAAGACAAGATATTCAAATTGGCCTACACCGAACAGTACAGCCAAAAGTCACAACAAAACGTACAGAAAATGCTCATCAATTCAACATTTGAAGAGAAAATTGTCATTTCATCCACAAACAACAATGCCAACGAAGCCATAAAACAGGACAGAAAAATCGTTCAATCACACTTGCCCCTTCATTTCTTTAGAATGATGAACACAGGAAACCTAATATTTAATAACTATTTTCTAGATAACATCATATTTAGACTTTTGGGAATCAACAAACTTATCAAATATTTTTATAAGTACGAATATTCATATGATGGGAAAGGCATACAAGTAAAAGTAATCGGTACACCAAAATGCAATAGCAATAGAATAGTCAATGAAGCACTATTAAATAATATAGAATACTCCCTTTCAAAAGGTTCTAAGGTAGAATTTATTGAAACAGTAAGTTGTGATAGAACAATCAAACTGTCAAAATTACTCCATGTTTTGGAACAAATAAGCAATGCCAATATATTGGTCATTCCTCTGTATGGACCATATTCAGAAGCCTTGGATGCTGCTCTTAAAAGAATATCGCGAAGAATGACTGTAATCACAGCTGCAGGAGATGATGGCGAAGAAGGATGCAATTACAGTCCAAATGGAAAATATATCATAAAAGTAGGTTCTGCAACTAAGCACGGACAAATCAGCGAATTTTCAAATAGGGGTAATTGTGTGAATTTGTACTCATTGGGTGAAGACATTTTAGATAAGAGTGGAACTAGCTACAGTGCCGCATTTATTGCGGGTGCAGTTGCTATTTATAAGGAAAAGAACCCTGATGCCACACATCATGACATACTAAGATTTCTTTTTTATAGTTCTGTTAGAAATGAATATAATCAGCCAATATTCAAAATACCGTATTTATCAACTGATGAGTCTGAAAAGATGAAAAGGCCCGTTTATTATTCTTTGTATGAAGTTATGTTTTACAATCTTCTAATAGCACTATTTGTGATGGTTTTAATATGCTTAACGGTATATTTGATCAAGAGAATCAGAGAAAGAAATGCTGATAGAAGTTATTTTGCAAGGAGTTTAAGGCAAAGGGCCAGCCCACTTGAAAGTACCAGAAGATAATATTGTAGATCATAAGCTGTATTAAAGATGCTTGAATATTCCCAACATCGAACTAACTAACTTCATAGACTGAATTATCAACTAGTCTTCAAAATGTAAGCCTAAGTCATCAATGTAAAATCTTTTATGTATATTTGTATTTCCTGTTACCAGGCCAACCCATCTTTGGTTGTATATTCTAGAAACAAGATACCTTGCATTAATCATGTATTCCCAAGGCAATCCAAAGTAGTTATTAGCAATTCTAACACCATCAACTTCCCACTTGCCATAGCTGTTGTTTATTATAATTATACTTACATTCTTAGCAAAGTAAAGATACTTCAATATTTTGACTATCCGGAAGATTTCATTCGAGTGTTTTCTAGGCTTCTCAATAATGTAAAGATAGTCTTCCAGTCCATCTAAGATTATTTTCTCTATTTTCTGGGCATTAACTATTCTTTTTAGATCCTTAGCTATGAATACTTTGAGTCCAAGGAAAGAATCGATCCGTTCAATTATGAAGTGTTCTGGAAACCAGCCCTTCTTCGATATTCTTGAACAAATATACAATGTCTTTAGCTCTTTTTTAATGTAAATAGCCAATGCGGTCTTACCTACAGCAGAATCTCCTACAATTTCAATAATACCTTTCACTTCTAGCATTAACTGAGGGATAGGAAAAGAAGATTTCTTTGCTATTTTTAAAAAATACTAAAAGGCTGGTTTAAACTGAATTTGAAGATCAATGCGACTGCACTGCCAAGAACTCGCCCTCTCCACAAATTCTAGCATTCCATTTCGATTCAAAAATATTCTAGCCCTTATTTAATGCCTTTCAAAACTGCAATCTCAGATTTATACCAAACAGTCATACAAGAAACAACAACATCCTTCATTTTTGGAACCACAGCGGCTATTGCAAAAGAACTCTTCAACAATGATAAGAACTTTATCTCCAAAAATGTCCTTGCATTGAGAAAAGGAGTGGAGCATGCCGAACATGCAATGCTGTACAATGCTATGCTATTTGTAACGAGACTGATGAGACTAAAAAGGAGCATATCACATCTAATCTGTATAATGATATGCTCCTTTGTTTCTGGACAGAAGAATGGCAATTTATTTGCACTTAAGAGTGCTGTTTTCAGCCTAATTTCTAATATGCTATCATCGTTGATAATGTTTGAATGATGTTTTGTAAAATAATGCTGTAAATTTAGTCAGCTTGGAGTGAATTTATGCCATTAAGTTCAAGCATAAAAGATCGTATTAAAAATGAATTAAACTGGTTAATATAAAATTTTGAAGTTTAGGAATTGCAATAAAGCATAGTTTGTTTGTTATTGCCTGTTTTAAGTACTAATTTCACCAATTTTTGTTTACTAGTAAATAAATGGAGGGTCTTCCGTATCTATTGGGATCTTTAAGTGTTATGCTTGTTCTGGGGTTGTGTGCTTGTGGTTCATGCAATGGAATGATGAAGTGTGGAACATCATCAACTATCCATTCACAAATAAGCACCGTTCTTACTTACTCATATGTATCAATGATTATCATCTCCACCAGCTTCTTCTATGGATTTATACTTTCAATCATCATCATCAACAAGCTAGGCCCAAACTATACTCTTCATACTGGCATTCTACACCTAACATCAGGCATCATCTTTGGTGTAATCGGAGTCAATTCTGGAGTGTCAATGGGAAATATTTCATCACATGGATTTAAAAGGATAGCCCAAAATGAAAAATTTTATACATCATTTATGATTTCACTGGCGTCGGTTGAGGTAACACTCGTTATAGGATTTTTATGCAGTTTACTGATCATATATAAAGTATAATACAGTTCAATAGAGAATATTCGAGCTAGTATTTAATTAAAATACAATATTAATATACACTGCTTTTATTTATAAAGAAATTCAATAAAAGTATCAACTAAAATGCTGCCATCCTCATCCGTCGGTATTATTCTCAATGCATCAGTCATTTGACCTTCTGCAAAGTTCAAATCTCCCATTTTTAAGAACTTCCTTAGATTTTCATTTGACATCCTACTTTTGTATACTTTTTTTAACTCACCTTTTAAGAATTCCTTGCTAACACAGTCCTTCCTTTCAATAGCTTTCTGAAAGTCCTCCTTTGTAATTATTTCATCCTCCTTTAGTGTGTCCAATGCATATCCAGCCTGTCGGAATCTTGAAATGCAATCTCCTTTGGCTGTCTTAAATATCTCGAATTGGTCCTGTGCTTCCATGGGTAGTAATCAAAACAAGTGTGAAACTAGCAATAAAGTGCAAGAAAAATAAGCAATAAGCAGAGACATTTAAAACTAGCAAGCAGACAGTTAGAATATTCTACAAGCAGCCATTTCTATCATGCTCCTCCATCTCAAACCTTGATCTTCACATTAACTGGTAAAATATGTCATGCATCTCTTCAATTAATCACTTTTATTTAAGCTTATACAATATCAATATGTCTTTATTATTAATTCCGTTTTTTAATCTTGAGCTAATTTTTTGAGGAAATCTTCAAGTTTTTTAATAAATCTATCGTCTGTCTCTCCAAAATATCCTTGCACTTGCTTGTAAATATTGATAAGCTCATCAAAACCATTGCACATCTTGGCATATTCTTCCATTCTACTTTTGCTTACGAACTCACCGTATAAGCTTTTGATTTCATCAATTTCATGGATCAAACTTTCAATGGAAATTTCAGAATTAATTATTGAAATTTGATCCATCGATTCCATTCCAGTCAATTCAAGTATAAGTTTTGGTACATTCACCTTTTTCTTGATTAATTTCAATATTTCTTTATTGTCAAAAGCCTGCAAGGAATCAAGTGAAAAACTCTCCGCATTACCGTTGAAAGAGTTGGAATTAAGAACATTCCCAATGACAAGCAAAATTCCAAATAAATTCAGCAACTCCGTGCTTTCAACAATTCTCATAAATGAAATTGACATGTTTTTGATAATTTCTGGGTATTTTCTAGTTTTGAGAGCAAAGTTGAACCTTAGAGAAAGTAAAGAAGAACGAAACCGACTCAGATTAGGCAACTCTTTGAAAAGAAGCTCTGCCCTTCCCATTTCCTTTATCGAAGAACAAATCAATTCGTACTCCTCCTGTGTTGGAAAGTATAAAATCAACTGCCTCACAACATTCTCATTTTCATATTCGCCCTGTAATATTTGTCTTATAAGTTCAGAATTTGACAGTTTGACTCTTCCTAATGCTATATTTAGAGCATAGCTCTTCTTTGGATCGATTAAATATTCAGTTGGCTTTTGAATTTCCTGTACAATTTTCTCTTTCTTTTCTTGTTTGTATTCGAATTCATCAAATTCAGAAGTTTGAAATACTTTTTCGAATCTTTCATAGTTTATCTTTGAAAATATAAGGCACTGCGCCTTGGTTGATTTTTTCCATTTTAAGCCCATATAAGATTTATCGGTTGTTAAGAGTGTGCTGATAGGCTTTGACTTTACACCAAATCTTACACCAATCTTAGGCTTTATTTCTGCAGAACTATTTACAACGGATGAGCTGGCAGTGACAGGCTTTTGCTCTCCTTTAGAAATTATTGGGAATGCATTTTGAGTCTTGGCGTTGTCAGATGGCCTTGATTTTAATTTTCCAAATATTCCAATGGTTTTAAGGCCTCCAGTATTCTTCAGTGTAGAGCCAGGTGTTTTTATGTCCACTTCACCGTTACTTGTTCTATTAGGTAGTTGTACACTTTCAGATTGATCCACACAGCTCACCAATCCCATTCTAATCTTCCTTACTTCTTTTGGTTTACTGGACGACTTTTCCAGAGAAATCATCTTATGTTTGAGTGATAAATTTTCAAGTTTTAAACTTTCTATCTCTTTTTTCAAAATATTTACAATATCACTAGTTTTTTCATCACTAATGTTGTACGAACCGAGTTGGCTTTTAATATCTAAATTATCAGTTGACTTCTGATTGATAGGTTTCAAAAGTAACTTTTCATCAACAAGTGTGACAATATTGTTTGCAGTCTCAGCATTTCCGCTAGTCACAGGAGTGCACCTTGGATCTTTGTCTTTATGGCTGCTTGATATGAAGTTGACTACACCATCTGACTTTGCTGGAACGGCAGCCTTTTTATTATTTATGCTCTCTGATCTATCGTTATCTGGCACATACAGCCCAACCTTAAAGCTATTGGATGCTGCTTGTACAAATAAAGCGTCATATATACCGTTATTTACAAACTTACTTTTGTTTTTCTGTAGTACTTCGGTACTTAGTATTTTGTCGATGTGAAAACTCCCATTCAGAAGGAAATTCAGCTCATTTTTTATTATGGATAGTTCGAGGATATCGCCAACCACCCTCATCAGGAATGTTGAACAGTAGCAGCTTGGAGAATGCACACTCAAATCGTTTTCTTGATCTTTGATTGACGTGTAGTGAACTGATGTCAAAAGTGCAGATCTATCGATATTCGAGTTTATAAAAGTAAATATTAAATGCTTGCTTATCAAAGTATATTTTTTCAGGATTTTAAATAGAAAATGAGAACACAAAGCCTTTTCTTTCTGGATGAAAACTATGAATTCTACTAGGTTATTCAGAAATTCTGTGCTGTTTGAATTTAAACTGCATTCCAGGACAGAAACCCCATGGTTTTTCATAAAGCATTTCCAAAGCTCTTCGCAGGAGATGTCGTTCAGCTGTATCATCGATTCCATAGTAAATCTTAGAAAAAGTAGATTTAATAGACTGTTTCTACACTTGAGTTCTTCAAGACACTCACTGATTTTAGCCTTTCTTTCGGAAAAACTGTACGCAGAAGCAATAGTCTGTACTTTTTTGGGAATGTCAAATGTCTTTACATAATTTATGGATTCTGCCTCAGAGTAGCCGAGAGATTGAATGACTTTTGTAAATTGTGTATTGATTGTGTCATTCTCCATACTTAAGGGAGTCAAAAATAAAAAGAAACAAATAGTAAAGATAAATGAATAGTATAACGACTGTATTTTATACAAAAATGTAAATACGACATACTATTAAAAAGCTTATTTAGCTATGGAAACTGCCAGCTTCACAAAGTAATTCCTAAACAGAGATGTTCAAAGCACATCTGTGCTCAAGTGATTTGCAGACGTCAACCCCATCATTTAGACACACATTGTATTCACTGACATGCCTGGAACTCAAGTGTGATTTTTACAGTTATACGCGATCACAGACCAAATCAAAATACATGCGCCGCTTTTGTCTTTTCAAACTAATTTGTTCACAGTTCTGATCTTTAAACAAATGTTTCAAATTATTATTTGATTGTCAAATATTAAAAATGTAAAATCATAAAAGCATCGTTTTCGAACAATGTCTCTGCTCTTTCCAGTCGTACTCCTTGTTTTATGGACAGCTAACTGTATTAATATCGGAATTTTTGATGCAGGTTCAACTGGCACAAGATTAAAGATTTATCAATTTGATGGAAATACACTTACCTCACAGCTAACATTCAAGCACCACGAACTAAATAAAAATATACCAAAGAAAGGTATTCACGAGCAGAGTAATAGTGAAATAGAATCGACAATCGATGAGCTAGTTCGCAAAGCCATCGAAATACAGCCAGACATGCTCTTAGCATTCTATGGAACTGCAGGGATGAGATCTGTGCCTGCAAATATCCAGAATAGCATCCTTGATAGGGTTAGAGACTGTTTAAAGAAGTATAATCTTTTCGATGTAAAGGTATTGGAAGGGAATGAAGAAGCCCTGTATTCACTCAAGTCCTTTGAGCATTATTTACCCTGGGAAGATGACTTTAGTATTGTGGACATGGGTGGAAGATCGGTACAGATAATTCATAAGAGAGGATCGTTGATAAGGGTAAATTCATTGGAAATGGGCATTATAAATAGTACTTGTAAGCAACAGAACAATAAAGTGAAGAGTATAATCGACGGTCTGTTAAAAGGTAGATCCGATAATTTATTGACTGAAGTAGAGAGCAGTAATCAACATTCAGGTAAAAGACTAAATAGCGAGATCCTCATTAAAGGAACGGACTGTAGAGAAATCAAAGAAAAGGGCATAAAAGTGTATGAGTGTGAAGAAAAGTCTATTTTTAATAGCTTTATTGACAGAAAGAATGCAAAAGTTAAGTCTAACGAGAGTACAGCCAATAAAATTGATAACTTTCACCATTTCAGAATTATAACCAAGTTTAATAATAAAGACCAGATTAACAACAAATCATTTCTTGCAAGCTCAGATTTGACCAAAAGCCAAGACAACTCAAATATAGAGTGCATTGACAGTTTCTTTGACATGAGCCATTTGGAAAAGCAAAGTCCAACAAAAAAGGTGTTTTTGCTGTCCTTTTATGAAGAAATATTAACATCGACCAAAAATATCACACTCAAAAGGCTGTTTGAAAATTACAACAGTTTTTGTTCAAAAAACTCTGATGAAAAATGCACAAAACTGTACTACTCACTTAAATTTTTGGAAAAGCTAGGAATAAATGAGAGTGTTGAGTTAATATTGGTTAATAAACTGTATAATATTGACATTTCATGGTCACTCGGAATAGCCCTTGAAATTAAACGGATGAATGAAGATGCATTGAGCAACAATGGAGTAGATAGACTAAAATTAAATACATAAAATAAAGTTGTGTATTTTCAATTGCCAGTGAGCTCAGTTTATTTCTATTAAAGCATACTCGACGTGGTTGGGTTTTCATGATCTTGATTTGATTGTCCGTTGTCTTTGATTGCATTAGACGATATAATCGATCTGGTTGATTGCCTTTTATTTTGAGTAGAGGAATCTTAGAATGAGAGCATAGAATGCAAGATGCATTCCCAGTGACGTCAGAATGAACCCCATTCTATTTTTTATTGGCTCGTCTTCCTTATACTTAACAGATGCCCTTGAAAGATAGTCTGAAATAAGGCCCTGAATTACCATTACTATGGTGCAGACACTAAAAGGGTCTTTGCTGCTTTTGAGATAGGCTAGAAATAGACTCAAAGGAAGATGCACAGAGCTTAGAAGACTCATGTACACGTAGGACAGCTTTATTTTTCCATCTTTTAGAAAAAGTGAATAGACAAGTGATATGGCCACTGAAAATAAAATGACAAACACGAAAAAAAATGACTTGACAAATATGGTGGAGAATATGTCATAAACCATTTCAAAAGACATTAAAATTAATCATTTTCGCAATTAAGAAGCAAATAAAGTTGAATATTGCAAGGATTACGGACAGGAAAATTATATTGAGGATTGACGTCTTGAGTTCGTCGGAATGGACAGGCGAAAATAAAAGGTAAGATTGTATATGTGAACTGATAGTTGACAGGGAAAATGAAAAGATGGAGTATTCCAAGGGATTCATAATTCAAATGTATTGTTGATATTTAAGGAGTGTTTAAAACCTGAAACTTCATGAAACATTTGACAGGTGGACAAACAGTTTATTTAAATGTCTATCTAAGACATTCCAGCACTTTTGCATGATTTTTTAACACACTCCCTGAAATTTCTAACTTTACACACTTGAATTTTTGCTGTTCAAACGTGAAAATTGCAACGTCTCTCGTGCAGTTCAAAAGAATCTCTTCCGACTCCTCAGATGCTGGATTGTCGATAAAAACAGCCTTTACTCTATCCCAGTCTTCTTTTTTAAAATTATCAATATTTTTAATGATAGTGAATAGGTTTCCACCAACATAGATCTTCCTTTTATCCTGCGATAGAGGATTGGCAGTTGAGGACTCAAATACTCCATCAGTAAGGAGCTTCTCAACATTGTCAATATGTATTTTAGAAACAAGACTGCTAGGAACAATTATTAAATCTCTTGATTTGATACTCGGCACATCATATTTTTTATCACTTTCGTATTTTGGACTAATAAAAAATCCTTTAACGGCAACGGGCACAAAGCTTTGTATTTCAGCCAAAATGGATGCTTTATCTATATGAGAAACCGAGGGTATTCCATTTTCCTTACACAAGCTCATGTATTCTTTTAGAGATTTCTTTGAATTTAGCAAAAAGAACAATACTGATTTAAGGGTATAGTCCTTGATCTTCTTTGTGGGAAACTCTACAATTTGATTCGCATCGTAGTGCTTTCCCTGCACCGAGACGGTGTTTTCATTGACTGTACATGCTTCAAGATTTCCATGTGCTTTTTTCAATACATCCATGGAAGGATAAAAGTTTACAATAAAAATAGGCAGTAAAAGTATTACTTGAATGCGCCTGGCTAACTGCCTTAATGATGAATGCCCAAGAAATATTCATGCTGTATTTAGCACAAGACTCACGCCTGTCTCTGCTTTCAACGCCAAGCAGATTGTAAAATTTCTGGGAGTGTTGTTGCAGAGCTTATTGCTTTGCAATGCTATTTCCAACAGCATTGATTTTATCCTTTGGCATAGTTGAAAAATTTACTGCTATTCAACACCTCATTGCTTATCACTATAACTTCTATTTTGTGTTCACTTGCAAACTCACAAATCTCCCTGTGCTCTCTTAATGTCACACCTCCCTCAATATAAATGATTATCGGTGTGATGTCTTCAACATTGCCAAATCTAACGAACGAATTGTCTTTCAGTTTATTAAACACCAGATGCTTAACCACTCTTTTCAAGGGCGAAATGTATCCCAGCTTAATATCCACCCCAGTATTAAAGCCATTTTTATAGCAGTAATTTAAGGGCCGATGGCTTTCGTAGAATTTTAAAAGGTCGGCGCGGAATTTGGGAAATGCCCTGCTACTTTCTTCCCAGTTTTTGACATACTTCAAAAAGTATATCAGTAACACCTTCAAAGCATTTGAATTGCCAAGATTTTCTATGGCTCTAGCAATACTAATGTCCTTGTTTACCAATACTTCATTTTCAATCTCGCTGATCTGTTGAATTCCAACGGCCTCATTGATAATCCTATTGTAGATGCTTAGATGTACTTCTGCAATAGTTTTCTGTGTGACCATTTCTTGGATTTCCTCAAAATCATCAATACTGAGCTTATTTTTCTCAACTTCTTTGATAAAAATCTTTATTTGCTCACCCACCTCAGCAATTTGCTTAAATTTGTTGATATTAAAAAATGCATCGTTTAATAGGTAGTCTCTATTGTTTACCTTAACAATAGAGTTTTCAAGATCGAAATGCTCATTTATCATAGAAAAGTAGTGCCAGTCATATAAAAGAGGTGTAATTAAGTCGAAGTTTCTCTTTAGAAGAACCAATGTGCCTCTTTTCTGAAAGTTAAACTGAGCAATCTTATTGCACAAGTCCCTTCCCAAGTTGACCATGCTTTCATTCATGTCAATGTTCTCTTTGCTACTACTTTCATTTAATGCCAAGATAGAAGGCGACATTTCTAACGATAGTAAAAGGGAAAATAGGGCATCAAAGTTTCTCTTATACATAAGCGAGTTTGTAGTGTACAAATTTAGAGACTGTCTGTATAGATCTAGATTAATTTCATGAACTTCTGATATTACTGAATGGATATCAGTGTTGGCCATTATTTCAAGAACAAAGGGGTCTATCTGTGTGGTAAATAGAATGATATAGTTACCATAAAAAGGACAAACAATCTCTTCAAGAAGTACTTTGAGATTGCAGGGCCTTACGATTACTATGCAACACATTCCATCGACTTTAGTCCTGTTTTTGTTTGTGAGATAGTCAAAATAAAAGAACCCGTTATCTCTGAAAACAGACAGGGGAATCAAGTTGCTTATCATCTGTTTAGATTCGGAATCAAACAGACAAGCTTTAATTCCCGTGCCTCGTTTTAGGATAAATTCAATTTGAGGATAAAAAAGAGATTCCATTGTTATTGATTATAAAATAAATCAAATATACGACCTGAAACATCACAAGCAACAATGACGATATATTTGAGTGTTGATATCCAACAGATTAGGGTTTCAAAGCCTGGACATTTGAAGTAATGTGAAGAACTTTGAACTCAGAAATAAGCTAAGAAAAGTATAATCAACCAGCCTCTAATAAGCTCATATAAAATTAAATGAACAGACAGTCCAATCAGACCAGTTTTCTAATACGCTTTAATATTAAATTTCAATCATAGTTTTTGTATTATATCCTCCTCAGATAGTACTTTTGGCAATCTATTATCTTTTGAATCCCTCCACTCTCGGAGAAGATTTCCTGCTCGCTTGAAAAACTCGTTTGGCTTGAGTTTTTCAAATTCTTCATGGGTTATCATGTCTCTTGCCTTGGCATGGCAAAGAAATTCAGAAAAATTCCTTGTAGAGCAAGGAAAATCTATGGATAGTATGGACATTTCTTCTTTTACATCAAAAAGTGCTTCAGCTGGTGAAATAGCCTTTGGGACAAGCTTATTTAGCAAAACATTTAGGAATTTTTGATAAATTTTATGGTTTGTGATCATTTCAATGAAGTAAGCTTTGAGAAATTTACGATTATTAAACTTATCAATATCCTTGAAAATTTTATCTCCAACCTCCAATAAATCATCAGGATCAGAAATGCTGTCTAAGCAATCACCAATATCCATAATGTATTCTCTCAAAACGTCATCATCACTCTTCAGTTTTTCAACCTTTTTAGATTCTTCAACTACAAGAGATGCAAATGAGTTTGATCTCTGAAGGATAGGAGACGGAGTTGACTTTAGGGCATTTATAAGATTTACATTGGCAGAAAATGTCTTATCAATCTCAACCTCCAATCGTAAATCTCCGCACTTTGAATGTGATTTGAGATAGTCGAGGATTTTCTTCAAGGTTTCACGTCGATTATTAGCTAAAAGTTTGTGGCCAAGGGAACCAAATACGTGGCACAGCATGACTACGTTCTCTGGTGTAAATGTCGATGTCAGCTTATCAATGATAACAGTAACGTTGTGAACTCCTGTTATATTATTGATATATAGTGCAATCACAAAATTCACCGTTCCCAAGGCATGCAGACGTCTTTTTGATTTTTCTGCAAAGCATTCCTCAATCTTCTCATCAATATCACTTGTACTGTTCGTTGACAAAATTGACTCATCAACCTGCGCAAACCAATTATGCTGACTTTCAAATTTCTTGAATGCTAAAGACAGAAGGGTTCCAAAGAAGCAACTTTGCTTGCAATTCTTAATCTTCTTCTCCTCATCACACAGCCATGTTTTGTAGAGCTCACCAATGATTTTAATATAAACGTTGAAAAAAACTTCCTCTGATATTACCTTTTCAAATACAAAAGCTGCTATTTCCTTCATTTCTTCAATTTTCTCGATCTGAATCTTGAATAGATTTTCTACTACTGAACCGACATTGCTTTTTGTTACCCTGTTAAACTCTACTCTGACTTTTTCAATTGGGGAGTCAACTTTTGACTTTAAATTTTTAATTTTTTCAAGATAGATGTCCTCACCTTTTGCAAAGTAAAATTTGATATCAACAGGTGTTCTTTCATTGATCTTCAGTATTGAATTAATTTTATCATTCAGTGCGTCAATGTCCAAGGGTGGGAACTGTTTCAATAGTCTTTCGATCTGCATGAACTTAACAAATTCAGATAGCTGGCCATTTTCTTCTGAATCGCAATCAAATATATTAACATCATTGCTGTCCTTCAGGCTTAGCTCACTGAGCATGGACTTGAGATCGCTCATTTGGCATGTAGAATTATGTCCTTCACCCTTCTTACCTGTGATTGACTCTAAAAACTCATGCGTAGAGAGATCCGAAATACTGTTTTCATTGTTAAAAAAGACAGATGGCATAGAACTTGTGGAGAATTCTTCTATTGTTTGTTGTGGAGGAGCACTCATGACTCTATCCATTTTAAAACCGCCAGTTTCATCACGGGGGCGATTGTCTTGTTTGGCTTTTTCAGCTTTGTGGTTTAAAACCATGGGGTTCAACTTTGTTCTCATTTTTGAACAAGTACTGGAAATTTTGTAAGAAAATTTTTGAAGATAGAGATAGTATGCAAAAGAAGCAAAGGCGCTTTGCATATAATTTAATTGCGGAAATAACACGAATCCTGCACTTGCTTTATCATTTATAAGCCATGCTGTTGGGGCTAAAACAGCTTCTAAATTCTAATTTGCCCAAAGCATTTCTTTGTGTGAAGGGAACCAAATAAGCATGCGATTCAAACACTAACCATTTATACTTTGACAAAATAGATTGATAAGCATACTAGTTTATTTTGGCCAAAAAGCTGTCTGTACATAGCATTTTAATTAAAAACTTTTAATAAACTTCACATTAAAGCTTCAGAGATTAGAAATGGGATGCTATAACATTACGTCTATCTATCTCGATAACTATCTGGCTGTATCGTTCTTTATAATTTATCTTCTTGGTCGTTTCAAAATTTTATCCCATGTTCACAAAGATCATTCCAACATCTTTGTTAACCAAATCTGACTTAGAAAAAGCAAAGGAGTTCCACAGAAGACGAAACTTATATAACAAATACACACTAGAACAGTTGGAGGATTGGACAAAGATAGACCTGTACGAGGCTTTGGATCTTGATTGCTACAGAGACAAGGATATTCCAGAAACTATTCTGCAGTATGCCGTTAAGAAGAAGTCTGCTACATATCATCCTACAAACAATAAGGGAAGGCAAGCAGCATTCTTCATTGTAAAGAGAGCTGAGGTTATTCTGTCAAGTCCAAAATATAGAAAAGTGTACGATTCTTGTTTTCTTGATGAGTCCATACCGGAAGATAGAGAATACAACCATGATGAGTTTTTTGACATTTTTTCTCGAGTATTCGATAGAAATGCAATGTTCAGCGAGGCAAAGCCAGCCCCAGGTCTTAAAGATGATCCTGAAGTATTTTACAAGTTCTGGCTGAATTTTAAAACAACACGAGTCTATGATGATCCAACAGATGTGTTTGACGTTAGTGGATCAATGAGACGACACAATGCCGATAAGAATAGAGATATAATGCAGCAGAAGAAACTTAGAGATCTGCAGAGGATTCAAGAGCTGGTAAAATTAGCCATTAAAAGAGATCCGAGAATTAAGAAAAAGTCAAATGGCACTTCCCCATGGGACGATTCGCAGCTAAAGAGTCTAAGGAGATTTGATAATCTTTTTGGAAAGACATCTAACAAATTCGATGTGATTGCTAAGAAACTCAATGAGCTGTTCCTTACTAAGCGATCACCACAGGAAATTAAAAGTAAACTAGATGAATTGAAGAGGTAGAACTCCGAACAATGGCATTTAGGTTTAGTATAAAATTTTCGACATATTTGCATGTTGATTAAGCTTAATACAAAAGCAAACTGAGCATCTCTCCATATTCAAAAACTAAAAAAACCAATAATGTTAGATAGCATGGAGTAAACGAAATAGCTGATTGCCCTGCTAGACTGCAACTGAACAAACAAGCGTTTATTAATAGATAGCATACCATTATTACTTAGTGTTTGCATCCAAACATCTCCTTTAGATTGCTTGTGGTTTTTAGAACCAGTTTCTTGAATTCCTCACAGCTCATGCTTAGTTTGTACTCTCCAATCTCTGCAAATGTCTTGTCAACAATGTTTTGAATTTTCCAGTCGTCTAATATACCTTTATTTAGTATTTTAATCATTTCAAAGAGATCCTTAGTTGATACCAGTCCATCATTATCCAAGTCATAGATTCCAAATATGAATTCCAACTTTTCATCGATGCCCTTACTGTTTACGAAATGGTAAAGTGTGCGTATCATCTCTTTTGTATTAAGCTTTTCATCTTTTGTGAACTTTTTAATTAAGATTACAGAAAGCGGATTGTTTTTAATTTCAGGAATCCCAAATATGTCTCTTTTACCCATTCTTTCTATCTTTCTATCAAGCTCGATTTCTTCTTCTTGTCTGCTACTTCGGTTAGCTGTCACTGTCATTTTATCCCCTTTATTTAGATATTCGTTAAATTAATAGCAAGGCAGTGCAGAGGCTCCTTTTCACCGACTTCATGCGCTGCACAGAACTCCATCGTATATAGCAGCATACCTATATAGCCGACAGGAATGCCAATAAATACCAATAGTTTAATCCAAACTTGTACTTCTCGATAAAAATTACAAAGTTTATTCAAGCCAATATTATATAGTACTAAAAAATGCATCAATGCATCCATTTGCATCTTTAATCATCCCATCATTCTTTTCTATAGCATCCTCAATGATGCTCCTTGCCTTTTGCAATTTTGAGAATATCAAGGGCATTGAGGAGTTTGAATCACTCATTGTTTTTAAATCCCAGTTTATTGAGTCAACCTGTGGGATGGATAACGTTTCAAGAGCATCCTTGTTTCTTTTCAGCGCTGTAAATGCATTATTTACGATGTCAAAGTAGTCCTGGCTGAATCTTTTGACTAGTTCCTTTCTTCTAAAACATAAATCTAAAAATGTCTCATTAAGTTTGTCTGTAGTAGAAACAAGAGAGGATTCAAGCGGAGAATTCTTCTTTGTTGTATTTTTCTCCAAGAGAATTGCCAGATTATTCAGAAATTTGTGTGTTTCCTTGTCTTTTGGTGGGCTTGCCCTTTTTATTTGGTTTATAATGTGAGGAACGTCAAAGGTCTGTATTTTCATGATGGGGGTAAAGAAAACATGGCTCACAACGTCAAGATGTTTACACATTCCATAAGAACATTTTACAGTGTGAGACAGAACAAGCAACACTTGTCTAGTCTTTCAAGATTTAATGCTAACACCAACTATTCATAAACCACCAGTGTGTTTGTTAGGTTTTGGCCATCCAAATCACACGCTAAATAATTCTATGATGGATAACACCTGTATTTGCTGCATATTTTCGCTGAATTACTCTAGGACGATCAATTTGCATAGTCGATTATTGATCAGTACAACACAAGCTTATTGCCCAATTCAAACCATGATCCGACCATAAAGCTTATTTTATTCTTATCGATGCACAATACCAACCTGGATCTAAGTCCTTGCACCAAAATTGCTGTATATAATGTTGTAGACCTGCTTTTGAACTCCAAGTATGCTAGAGTTTATTGTCGCAGGGCCTGATGTTTTCCGATGCTTCATTGTTTCCAATGTATCTATGGTAGATCTGATAGAATCAATACAAGAAGGACCACATTTAAACATTATCAATTGGTTTAGACAATTTTCAAACCTAATTAGCTCCATATTGTATACTGCTGCTTTTAATGAATTTTTGTAAATTTTTTCAAACCACCATCAATTAGAGAGTATGAAAGAGAAAAATATAACATATAAGAACATGATAATAGAAAGTAGTGAACAAACAAAGCCAAATAAAAAAGATCAAAGTCTGGTCAATTACTTAAATTCCATAGACTTTTCTCTTGTAACTGATGAATCCATTATAGAAAACATCTACAAAGAGATTCTTCCGACCGTTACAGGCCTGCTTAAAGATCCGTTTGCAAGCACAAGTCTTGAAAAGGCTTGTTTCCCTTTCCTCTCCAGCTCAGCTTATTAGTCTTTTAAACTCACTGGAGAAGAATACCGTTCATAAAAAGCTTGGCTCAAGGATCCTAGAAAGAGTATATGAAAGGCTGTTTGAGTGCATGTACAAAGAGAAGCGGATGTTCCGTCTAAAAGATACTGTATGCATATTTTACCGTGGTGACTCGCTGCAAGATTCTTTCAAGAACAGTATTGTCTGTCACAATGCAACATTTGTCGTTAGGAAGGTGTTGATGCTGCTTTCAGGCAAGTGGATTGAAAAACAAAGTGTACAAAAGTATAAAAGGCCTATCTTAAATAATGACAATGAAAGATTCTCAAAGGATATGCTTGAAGAGACGAAAGCAGTCTTTAAGGAGATAATAGCAAAGCAAATAAACTCCAAAAAGTCGGAAGGTTGTATTTCCTACTCAAATGATTTTTTTAATACACTTGGAATATTCCTACAAATTACAAAGAGTCAATCGCTGATAGAATGTCTTATTCAAAATGACTGTGATATTCAAAACAAGGAATTTCTCTATGAAATTGTAGGAGCAATTTCAAACAGAAAGAACCAGAGCCTGATTTATTCAAAAATTAAAGGTAAATGCAAAGACTTAGCATTAGCTGAAAAGTCGTCCTATTTTATGCAATCTTTTTTAAGGAATTCACTGTTCGGAAGGGAGATTTACGAAGAATTTAGCAAGGATGATTTTGAGGGATTTGATTCCAATTCTAATGCCATATTGGCACTTACCGAGTCTTTGCAGAGATGCCTGGACTATGAATTGGTTGATAGCTTGGTTTGCAGATTTTATAAGCCTGCTAATACTCTCTTTGAAGAGTTACTGTTAAGCAAGTATGGATCGATTGATTCAAAATTTGTCTATCTTGTGGTCAACTTTATGCAACTACCCAAACGAAAAGGATACGAGTACTTCTATTCTGTAAACAAAGACTTTATAAGACTATTTCAAAAGGAATGGATTAGGAGCAAGAGCGGAATAGCTCTACTTTCAGGCTTTGTGAGGGGCAGCTGTGATCCAGATGCAAAGAGCCGATTCTTAGAAAAGAATATTGATCTTTTCTGGAGCTGTATAAAATGGAAGGAGGGAAGGAGTTTATAAAGATGGTGTGTAATTTGACCAAAGGACATGCGAGGAAGAAGGCCTTTGAGATCTTAAATAGGATCGACTGCTCATAATTTTACAAAGCTACGTCACAAGGACGCATATTTCTATAAATTAGGAAGAGTGCTACAAGCACCGGCTACTCTCAGTTCATCGATCTTCTGGAATCGAAATTGTGTTCTAAATTGCCATTTCCCTATATGGCATAAAAACAACTTAAGAATGCCAATAGTGCAGGTATTTATCTACGAAATGTATTATAGCCTGCTGAAATAGCTTATAAAGGTCAATCCATTGGATAAATGCACCTGTCTCAAGCATTCTTCTCGGCACAGTTAATTAAAAACTATCTAAAACTTTAATTTTCAGTTATGTTGCATTTATTTTTAATTTGATTTTGGCGTTTTTACACCATTATATTTGTACCAACTGAATTTATTAATTAGATCTCTGTCTCGTAACAAATCTGGTCTTCCTGTCTTCCTTGCTCCTTACCTTGACAATCCTCAAGTGGCATGCACAGCTTATGCAGTGGTTCTCAATGTTGAGGAATGTTGGCACTTCGACATTTTCGTAGACTGTGGCTGCTCTGAAGTCATCCATTGAGGCTGCCTCGACGACAGGCGCATTGGAAGACCTAGATATTGCCTTGTCCTTGGCCACAGTAGCACCGCACTGGTTGCACTGTACATTGCATGTTGCACCTCTATTCTTCTTCTGTCTGCCGTGGTTTTGTCTCTTGACTGGCATTGGAGTAAAAATTTTTTGAAAATGTAAAGTGCACGTAAAAGTATGAACTAGACTTTAACTGTAAGCAAAACTATGTAAAGATATGCACGAACTGTGTCTTTAATGTAATAAAGAGACTTGGCATTAAAGTCCATTACAGATAGAACTAGTTACAGAATATAAACAGATCCAGAGACATTCTATGCTTTGAATGTGATCCAAAGCCTATGCACAAAGCATCTATTCAATACCACCTCTCCTTTTGAATATTCATTTCAACAGCCTTTTTTATGCTTTCAAAGGATATTTCGGCATCTAATTCAATGCCAATTTTACCATGCTCTTGTTCCATGTCTTTTAAGTTGTTGCCGTTCCTCATTAAAATACCCTTATTTGCCATAGATACATAATTTACATTTCCAATAATATTCTCCTCGCCAACGTATTTAAGTATCTCCATTTTAGCCTTACTTAGCATCTCCTTGTTTTTCCTGGGCGTTCTTAAAATCACATTGTTCTCAAGTCCCAGCAGTTTGGTTTCTTTGGAACTGAGAAACTTTACATAAAAATTATACTTTTTCATTATTCGTTGAATAACACAACCATCCACCCCGATGATCTTCTTATGATATTTTCTATCAACACTAAAGCACATTTCATAAGGGAACTCATCCAATAGTTGTCTGTAGCAGCCAATGCATGCATTGGTTGGCCCTTGCATTTTAAAATTGAAGAAAGACTCAGGCTCCTCAAAACCAGACTTAAATGTGTCAATTAAAAGTACTTTTAAGTATGGACAGGCAATTTTATGAATTTTCCCCATTTTCTTTCCACAAATGAAATTGCCCGTTTCAGAATTTACAAGTAGATTTACGGTGCATTTGTGGACAGCTCCGAAGCTTTCAAAAAGTTCATCTACATCTCCAAATAGCATATTATGGCCAGCCTTTGCCATGATAATCTCTATAAAAGCTTTACATATATTCTTCTGGCAGCTATCGATCATACCTAATCCTTTATGTTGATTAACAAGGCTATCACATTCCACGTTAACAAGAATATTTGAATAATACATTTCTTCTATCTCCCTTCTGCAGTTGTTTACATGCTGTCTGCTTTCACCATATATTGCTATGCGTGTCATATTACCTCCCGAAATCTGAACTAATTTACAAGAATAGGTTCTCAAAATTCCGTTATATTTCTTAGAATACAGAATTTTCATTAGAAGGAAATTCACGTGGAGAAAGCTTGTGACTTCCGTCTTGAAGAGTCTGTTGGATATTTTTATATTTTCTAAGTTCAAAACAGACAGACTACCGTTAAATCTTGGCATGCATTGATCGACAGAACGGCAAGCCGTGCTAATACTTTTAATATCTGCTACGATATTATCAGTCAAGGAGCCGCTATTTTCAAAAGTTGATGTATTTCGACATTTAGAGTGGGCATATGAATTTAGACCAACATCTCCACTTTCGCCAGGCTCACTAAAAATTAAATCATAAGTTGTACATATAAATTCAAGCGTCTTTTTAACATCAACGCAATAAAATTCAATAGAAATGTTCAGCGAATCTCTTTTCATTTCAAATGTAAATGTGTTGTGCCCTTTGATCAACTGGGTTTTTACATGATTATACTTCCCATCCAGCCATTCACGGGGTATTTTGATAGATATTCTATTGCTACCGTTTCTTTCTATTTTATCTTTATCAAATATGGAATGCACACCTCTGTGACTCAAAGGAAACATCGTATCAACTTCAGGACCGTTAAGTGAATAAACTGGTTCAGGTCTGCTGTCTTGTTCAAGCATTTCAGGCTCGTTTGTAGTTAATTGCTGGTCTAAAATAATGACTTTATGTTTTATCTGATAAGGATTGTCTTCACTTTTTGGGTCACCGAGCGAGGAATTCTTTGCAGTATTTGAAATAGAAGGGCTGAATGGGTATTTAGAAAATAAGTTATTTTTCATATCTCCTACCCGTAAGTCTTATTTTATTTTAAATCCTCATCATCCTTTCATTTTGTTTCAAAGGCCCTGAATGCATTGGTTAGTTTGAAACTTTAAAAATGTAAAATAAACGTACCAGCCACAGACTGCTAACTAGCATATCTTTACGCATAAAGCATTTTAAGACTGAAATCAAAGGAGTGAAGCAAGCTGGCATATTGCCTTATATCAGGCTTGAAGTATCATGATTGCAGATATATTATTGATAAACTCTAATATTTTTGAGAGTGCTGCAAATTAGCCAAAAGCCGATTAATTACTATAAAATAGCCCTGGCGGAAGATACTCACTTGGATTTGCGATTTTAGTCTTCTTTGTTGGCTTTGTGCTTGCGATTCTAGAAAGATTAGACGAAACTGTGATCGGCACCAGTTTTTAATGGCAACTCATCTTCCAATGCTTGCATCCCTTAATGCACCTTTACTCTGATCTGAGCTTGCTTATTGACTAGTAGCTTCATTATCATTCTAGTTTTTTGAGATTATTAAGTATCTTTACTTGGTTTTCTGATGACGAGCTTGTTCTGACCCTGCTCTCCTTTTTGAAGAGCATAGATTTATTACGTAAAACTAATAAAAGGAATTTAATGTGTCAGACATAACAAATTAGCAAAGTTATTGCCAAAATGGATAAAGAGGTAAGAAGTAGAACTCAAAATGATAGCTTTTCAAATATTCGCTGATAGATCAGTAATGTATAAAAGTTTGAAGACTATCTTGGCAGCAATCGTTTTTAAAAACGGATGCATTTATGAAACGACCATTTCTGGACCGCACCAACATTAATGCAAAGTACAAATAATAATAGGCAGGAAGATGCCATAGGCCTTCTTTGAACACATCACTCGCCAATCAAAAGTATATTCAACAATATTAAACCACTCGTTTAAACTGTATATTTATTTTTTCAATACTAGTGTGTAATACAAAAATATACAAAGAAGAAAACACTGGATTATCCCCGTAGCAGCTGTGATATATGAAATCTTCGCCATGTTACTTTCTAGTCTTTCTGAGTTCTGTGTGGTGACATTATCACTTAGGATTTCCAATATCCCATGTATAATCTCGCACCGTTTATTCAGCAGGTTTGCACGTGTTTTAATATCAAGATACTTAATGCAGGTTTCGTAAAGAGATGAAAAGGCAGAATATTCCCAGACAAACTCGGGTTCACCCAAAATGTTGGAAACAATATTGAGATTGAAGCTAAGCTTGTGTAATTTGCCTGTGACTTTCATTATATCCTCCCTTTTTTTACCTACTTTGCCCTCTTTCTCGACTTCGTCCGGCAGACCCTTGACTGCATCTATCGTATTGTCCACAAGCTCTTCGTAGTAGTCCAGCTTAACGGATTGTGCCATTGCAATACTTAAAACCATCTTCGTGTGTATATTTTCATCCCTCAGGAAAATTTTATCGTTGACAATCTGTGAGTTCTTTGATATTCCATACATGAAGTTTTCAGTTTCAATAGCCTTTCGATCATACGGATTCTCCTGAAAGTGTGAAATGAGCCTAAGAATGTCCTGCTCTTCGCTTTCACTCAGTCCCCACATTACAACTGCTCCGTAGTGGAGGAAGTAGAGATACGCTATTCTCTTTTCTTCAATTTCGAAGCTGATGTAAAGACACTCTTCAAAATACATTTGGACCTTTTTCTCGGTCGATACTTTTTCCTTAAAAAGCTTGCATAGACCCATCAGATTGTAAGACTCCGCAGTGCAGTAGGCGGTGACTCTCTTAAGCTCGCATTCTGGCTCGTCGTGAACAATCGGAGTTGGAGACGTCAATGGCTTTAAATTATAAGCATCTCTAAGCGTTCTGAGTTCGATACGCGAAGCTTTACGCCCACCAGTGTTTCCCTCATCGTTTAACTCGCTTAAAAACACTTTCTGTGAGTTCATACTTGTACTTGACATGGGGTATTTTAATACTCGAATAATCTCCTTTATAAAAATGATAAAAAATCCACTATTGACGAGTAGCTCAAAAGGCCATTTTAAATCAAGATAAGCAAAAGATCGTCATAGTATCACATTCGTCCAATAGATAAGTGATCTTAGCCACTGTGTGGATTAAAATCTCAATGCTTCAACACGTCAAACACAAATAAATCTACAAACATCATACACTTATCAAGTACATTCAATTTATTAAATGCCAGAAAGAATGCCATCAAATATTTTCTTTACAATTGGAGATCTTTTCTTTCCAACTCTTGGTTTTGAGATGGACTCGTGAATATCATCCACAGAAAATCCAACGTTTGCAAGAGAATGCACATATTCATCTATTTTATCCTCTTTCTTAAAGCTTTCAAGCATGTTTTCGACACAGGCCAGAATTTTGTCGACTTTAAATTCATTCAAAACTAGCCTAAGCTGTTTTAATTCCTTGGCCTTCACATACTCCGAAAATAGTTGATCTAAAGTCATGCTCTCTTGCTTGTAAACTTCGCATATTCGTTTGGAATTATCCTGCTCCTCTTTGAGAAGCGCATAAAGATTAGACTTGTTGTTCATCTCGTACTTGGTATCCTCATTTACACCTTTGTCCTTAGCTATTAAAATATTCAATTTATGGCTCTCTTGTTCAAATATTGCACCACACGAATTGCAGGACCTCTTCAAGGCTTTACCAAATAGGAACTTTGTTTCAGGATTTCTGCACTTCGTACAAAGCACAAAGCAGTCTATGAAATCGTAGATTCCATTTTGTATTCTATTTGAATCAAAGCTGCCATTTAAAGCATACTTTTGACCCAATGCACTGGTGCATCCAAAGCTCATCGAAAGAAACTTAAGAATGTGAGCAGGATTTCGAGAGAGGGACTTTGATATTTGTTCTAAATTCTGAATCACAGTTTTGCTTGTCTCGTGAGAAACCACAACTTCTGGCATTTTGTATCGATAAAATGGATCGTTTGAACTTTTGTCAATGGGAATCATTGGGCGAGGGCAAGTGCATGTGGTGAAAGTCCTATTAAGAACAAGTATATATAGTGTGTGGCATTGTGGCAGTAGAGTTTGCATAGGACAATATAACTACAATGCGCCACACCATCTTTCATTTTGATATGCTTTTGAGACTCAATATCTTGACCCCATGAAGGAGCAGATAGAAAAGGATAGGGAAAGTCTGAGAAACCAAAACACCCAAGATTTAGGATTTTCATATATACCTTTACTTCAAGCTCAAAAAACAGCAAAAACCAAGGTAAAGCTAAGTAAGCTCTCAACGCTTAATATTTTAATTTATCTGGAAGAGGGCTTTCAAAAGAGTGACAAACACATGCTAAGCAACATTGAAAGGATCAAAAGGGAAGTGTCACAAAGAACGGATCTTTTCGAAGCTGTTCTAAAATACCTTGAAAACAAAAAAGTACGGGACGATCTCTTCTATTGGACGCCTGGATACAAAATTTCAAATATTTTTTGCTTTATAATGGATATTATTCCAAATTTTATACCATTATACAAGGAGTACTACATTGAGAAAATAGTTTGTAAAAGGGAGTTTTACGATGCTTCTAATTTCGTTAAAGAAAGATTTTCAAACGACTACGAACAGTTTAATTTAATCAACATGGATCTTTCGATGTTTAGAAACTGCATTTCAACACACATTTGGACACATGAGAATGTAGGTCTAGATCAGAGTGAAATCCAAGCACTGGAAAAACTTAATATTCCTTATTTTGTAAATTTTACAGATGATTTAGAAGCCTATATTGTAGTAACAACGAGTTTTGTGGATGTTACCATAGGAAATCATAGCTTTACTGTTAGACTGGATGCACTTATTGGTCTACTTGTCAGGAACGAAAAATACAGAAATTTTTGGGACGAACATGGCATTTCATATGAAACATTTAATCAAAAGGCAGATGTCATACTATAATAGCATAGATATCTACAACAGTAGAACAACAAATAGACAAAATGTCCTGGTATCTATAGTGGCTTTAATACTGTTTTGAGATGTGTTTGTTCTCCACTTCCATGTAATTTCACACACATTGCTGCACTGATTGGTTAGTGTCACCAAATAAAATTAGAAAGTAAATTAAGGGGTAATGGAAAGTGAGCAGCAGGGACAGAGCGGAAGATCAATCAGGAGGTGTTTTCTGGTATTTTGCTTCACAGCAGGGTTATACGTTATCATAGGGCTAATTAAAATACGCACCTTCGGCGAAAGATTATTTGTAAGAAACAACATAAAAAGTAAAAATCATAAATAGATATCCTAGTAAAATTATAACTAGAACGACAAACATTTGTAAGCAATATTGAATCGTGAGCACCGCAGAAAGCGCACGTTTTTCTTTCTTTTGAATTGTAAAATTTTTGTGTCCCATGGCCGTTAGAAAACAGAGACTTGATAAGTATTATAATTTAGCCAAGGAAAAAGGATACAGAGCCAGATCAGCATTTAAGCTTCTCGAATTAAATAGAAAGTACAATTTTCTGTCGAACACCAACATTGCAGTTGACTTGTGTGCAGCTCCGGGCGGCTGGATGCAAATTCTTGCACAGGAAATGCCATCACCGAGAAAAATTATTGGGATTGATCTAGATCCAATCAAGCCTCTTGGCTCTGATACTATTTCATTTGTTGGTGACATTACTACAGCAGACTGTCGACGGACCCTCATAAGATACTTGGAAGGCCACCAGGTGGATATATTCGTGCATGATGGAGCACCAAGTTTTGGATCTTCGAAGGACAGGGACATCTTCATCCAGAACGACCTTGTTCTTCATGCTCTTAAGCTTGCGACTGAGTTCCTCAAGGAAGGTGGTGCCTTTGTGACGAAGATTTTCAGGTCTGAAAACTTCTTCAAAATCACAAAGGTACTTGAAGAGCTATTTGTGCAAGTTGATATAACAAAACCCATGAGTTCAAGAAGTGAATCTGCAGAGATATTTGCTGTCTGCAGAAGGTTTAGAAACCCCGAAGCGATTGATCCGAGTATTTTTAATTCCGAGGTATTGTTCTATGATGAGACAGTGGACAAGGAAAAGAACAAAAGAATGCTTTTGAGCGATTTTATTAAGGACAAAAGCAATAAGATACTTAAGGAATGCACAAATGTCATTGTCGATTTTGACTGCGATCTAATTACGGAAGAGTACCGGGAGATGTTCAAGGATATTAAGCTGCTTCATGATACTGATCTAAAGAAAATTTCCAAATTGAAGGCCAAGATTGTAAAAGGTGTCGGAAGCGGGACATACGACATTCCAATTCTGAGCGAGTTAGTAATTGCCGATGAAAAAAACAACACACAAGATAGAGTATTGACAGATGCTGAAAAGATCGATGAAATCAATAAGAAGCTGGAGGAAAATAGAAAAGCCAAGAAATTAAAGTCGTTATCATTGATTACTACAGCAAGAGACGGATTCTTCAATGACAGAATATTTGAAGGGTTTGATTCATCTGAGGGCTCTGTTGAGGAAATTGCAGATAAACAAGTTGAGGGGGAGATTTTAGTGGAGTCCTCATGTTCTGATTCCATGGAATTTACAGAATCTGAGCTCCAGTGTGCAATAATGATGAAAAACATGGGTGATAAGTTTATTGAGACCACGGTTGATAAAAATATTATTGATTCTGATGATATTGTCTTGCCGTGTGAACAAAGGCCATGCAAGTTCGACGAGTTCAACCAGGTTCCCAAGAAAGTGAGAGAATATGTCAATAGAAAACGTGCACGAGCTCTGAGACGCGCAAAAAAAGCAATGGATGAAATTGAGGTTGAAGACGAGGAAGAGGAGGCTGTAATTTATAAAAAAGTATTTAAAAACATGTGTAAAAAAGCAGAGGAATCGGCTGAGACTACTTTTCCCGAAAAAACAGGGTAGGATTATTGCGCCAAAGGGCAAGGGCAAGATAAAATGCCTTGATTCGAGGATGAAGCATGATTTGAAGATTAGCAAGCAAAGAAAGCGTAAGTGAATGCACAGAACATAGAAGTTAAAACGTATTGTCATTACATAGTTCTTTTACTCTATGCGCTTAATATTAGTAAATTTTTAGCCAACTTATTCATTAACATTTTAATATAAAGCATGGTCAGACCTTTGGAATTGTTGAATATATTTATTTACTCAGCGCCCGATAAAATCAACATTCCCAGTACTAGAGCTAATAATCCTATCAATTCTCCAAAAATTAGTAATAGAAAATAACTCGATGTAAATTTCTTCTGTTTAGCCCTTGCCACAGCTGCATCTTTTGCTATTCCACCCATTGTATATCCGCAGAATCCACATGCTAGCCCTTGGATGGCTGCACCCCCAAAGCACTTGACAGCACCTAGAAGTGTTACGGGCGACTTTGTGATCATGTAAAAGAACAAGAGCAGAGAGTATATTGCAGGTGCTGATGTGAAGGCCATCGGCATAATTGAGAAGGTTAGGTCTAGGTCTATGTCGACTGTTTTGCATATTCCTTCAGTTGCCAATCCTACCCCCATTCCAACACCAACCAAAGGCGGAAGAACCGTCAATAAAATAGTTATCGAGTTTATGATTGTGACCAGTGTTTCTTCATTTCCAATTTCCATCGAGTTGTTGTATTTTGTTAATTAGATTTAAAACAAAACCTAAAACAGAAATAAAAACAAAATTTTAATCCAGTTTTAATTTAAGACTTTTAAATTATTTCATCTAATCTTCGGTAAGCTAAATGAGAAAAAGCAATCACGAAACAAACAATATAAATAAGACCGCATGCTATATTTGCTAGATGCAAATGGCTTGCATAGGTAAAGTACACCGGCGACAGCAGGTCGAAAAACGTATTAGATCGCAAGTAAAATAAGATAAATGATAGCATTAAAGCCACTATCACCACAGTTCTAAGAATAAATGATTTTTTTGACACGCCGTGTCTTTCATTATAAACTATATGGAAAAATAAGGTAAGTGTAGATGTCATAATCACGAACATATTCATGAGAATCCACTCCATTGATTGAAGCCTAACAAAATATTCAAATAGTTTAAAATTGGATTCTGCTTTGGCAGCAAAATTTGAACGGCTCATAAATAGTGCAGTCAAATATCCGTCACTCATGGCCAGTGACACTAACGTAAAACACATGTAAAATACATTCAGAATGAAGAACAGGGTGGGCCTCTTTTGAATGCTTTGGTAGCAGAAATACATTATAAGAGCTGTGAAAGTTAATAACGTAAGCGGAAGATAGCCGCCAAAGAGTGGGAATAGGCCATTGTCCAGAATAAAGTTGATCTGAAACGGCATAGCACCAAGTTTGGAAAAGTCATTTCTCAGCATATCATTAATGGTCTCTGATAGGAACATAGATCTTATCTGTTTACTTAAGCTTGAATTGTCATCTGTCGGGGTCACCACACTGATTTTAAGATAATCGCCAGCTTGGTTTAGTACTTGGAGTCTTTGATCATATCTGCAAGCAAAACCAGGCGAAAAATACTTTTCTATAACATCGTACCAGCCTCGTGGACTATTTATGGCCGCTCCATCCGGTATACTCTCCATCGTTCTGGGCAAGTGAATAAAATAAGCTTTGAAAAAATGTGTTCGGCCATCAAAAGCTACCAAAAGACGGCTTTATCATACGAGCCACATACTTTGATAAGTTTCAAACAATCTTTCGTTTTCCTTGGTTACTTTTAATAAATCTGATAGCTTACAGCTTTATTAATTTCTTAAAAATAGCATAAACTAAAGAATATTAAAATGCCAATCTAAAAACTAATAAGCACCACACGGCTCTGTAATCGATTTGCATATTCTTATATGTCCCAGATAGGACCTAAACTGAAACAGAATCATAGTGATGCTATTGATAGAAACGCTGCAGCATGGACTTTAGCAGGATTAAAAAAATATTTAATTTAGATACCTTCCTCGTCTAAGAATATACGGGTAAAATAAATAAGTACATAAGATATGAAGCCGAAAGCATAAAGATAGCACAGAAGCCCATTCAGTACATGTAACCCAAATGCCCGGACAATAACGTAATCTTGCACTGTGCTAAATAACACATCACATACCAGATAAAATAAGACAAATATCACAACCATGCACCTCATTACTGTATATTTAAAATTATTATAAGGCTGCGATTCTCCATCTGAAATCACGTGAAAAAACAAAATGAACATGCATGTTGTGGCGATAAATATGCTCAAAATAACCCATTCAATAGTCTGAAGCCTCATGAAATAGTCTACTTCGTCATAGCTACTATTTTGATTATTGGTCGGGCTAATTGAAAATCTGAATATAGCCGCCATATATGCTTCGCTAGTGAACATTGACACTATTGCGAAATACAAACACAACAGATTCACAATGAAAAACGGAACAGTCGATTTTACAACAAAGTAGCGATTAAAATAAAACAAGACAATCATAATGGCCAGAACTATAATTCGCCAATAACTTCCAAAAAATGGAAATAGCCAATTGTCAAAAATAAAATAAATCTGCCAAGACCTTATACCAAGCATGCCAAGCTTTCGTCTTAGCTCGCTATTGATCGATGTTGATAGAAACATGTCCCTTATTTGCTCGTACAGTGTTAGTTTTTTGGTTGCTTTATTTTGTATGTCCAACTTAAAGTACCTGGCAGCTTCATTAAACAAAGTCTGCTCCTGGCCATATCTGGAATTGAATATAGCAGAAAAGATGTCTTTTGCTTCTGCATACCAGCATCTGACTTGATTTGTAGTTGTTTCACTGCACTGATCGGCAATCATATCAAAAACAGGATAAAAATTTTAAGCGCTGGAAACTGATTTACTAGTGTGCTGAAATGATTAAGCACGAGGCCATAAAGGAGACAGTGCATCGTATCTGGAAAATTTTAAACATTTACGCTCACCATGAGGACTATACCGAGGCTTCCAAAATTTTCTTGGAAATATGTTTGATCAGAATATATCGGCCACCTATCATTTTGATGCCTGATATATGCGATGCATGCTTTAATAAATCAGCAAGTTTTGTTGCTGATAATTATTGTTGTTCCAACCTAACGGCATATTTATAAAAGCCAGTGCACTTCATCCAAAGCCCAATGAGTCTGTTTGCTTCCATACAGCTATCTAGTCAAAATCCAAACTAACAGCAAGTATTTAATATTGATTACAGTACTAGTTCTTTAAAAGTATTCGCTCAGTGTCTCATCTCCCTTATTTGTTCTAAGTGTTGGTATATCCAAAGCGCTTCCCTCACAAAATTGATTGATTTTACCAACATACCAAAAATAAACCTTGAGCCCTGATTTACAAGTGAAAACACAATCATTAGAAGGAAAATATCAACAATTACAGCTTCCGTCGTTGTTAGTTCTCCCAGTCCCAGTTCAAGTGATATTCTGTAGTACAGAAAATATATAATCATTAGAAAGTTCTTCAAAGACGAGTTTGTGACTTTCTTCTGCATTAGCATGTGTTTGTATACGTTGAGCATCCCCTTATTTTTGATGGTTTTATCGAGCTCAAAGCTCTCTGCTATTTTAAACATTCCAGGCATAGATACCGGCAAAGTATTTGTTTTCTTTATTGTTTCCGGTGTGTTTCATAATTAGCATGACTACAAATGATTTTGTACCTTGCAATAAATAAATGCCATGCCAATTTATGACAGTGTATATTCAACTGATGCCCTTTAAGGCCTTATTTGCAAACACGTTGTCTCCTTATAATAGCTATTTATGGCCGAATATATTCTTTACTGAACACTCATGACTATTACAAACATATACTTTGTTATTTCTGCATTGGCTGTGGGAAACCCTCTCACAATGGAGAGTCGCGTAGAGCAGCTGAATTCTTTCCAGGAGCATTCAAATGTTTTATATATCATGAGCAGAGACCAGCGGATACACGAAAACCATTCAGTTGCGCTATCGTATAGTCTGTCGTACAAAAACAAGTCAAAACTGCTCATCGGGATTGAGCTTTCTAAGCTTCAAATGAATGAGAAACAAAAGACCTTTATCCTCGAAGGATTAGTTGAGCTTAACAAGGAAGCAAAAAAATACAATCTCCATGTTTACAACATTACAGACATTGAGCCGTTTATAATCTCAAATTCAATAGGAACAGTAGTTTTGGATTTTAATCCAATGAGGGTATATATCAAACGTCAAAATGAAATTAGCAAAATCTGTGAAAAACACAAAACAGCGCTCTTTGTTTGTGATTCGCATAACATTGTGCCCTGCAAGACGCTTAAAGTGTACAAGAGAACCTCCAAGGCCGTTCGGACCGATTTATATAAAGAATGGAGAAAATACCTGAAGGAATATGAGAAGATAGAGCCTCATAAATTTAACAAGCCAGAGACGGAATCAGGAAACAATACGGACGAATTTGAGAGTCTCCTCAGAAAAAATCCTAGAGATAAACAATGCACATTCACAGGAGGATATTCCGAGGGTATGAAACAGCTAGAACTGTTTTTTTGCGAAAGGTTTTCGTCATACAGCAAAGGCAGAAATGACCCAGAAACAAATGTACTGTCTGATTTAAGCCCATACATCCATGCTGGACACATTAGCGCACTTCAGACAATCTTTCTGACAATAGAAAGGTATGGAAAGGACGAATCAGATAATTATCAGGCGTTCATAAATGAGATGTTTATTTGGAGAGAAACAGCTGAGCATTTTGTATACCACGAGAAGAATTACGATAATATAAATGGAGCATTGGCATGGGCCAAGAACACTCTGCTGTACCACGTGCGGGATCAAAGGCCAGCAATTTATGATCGAAACCAATTGGAATCAGCAAGGACCGATGATCCATTGTGGAATGCGGCACAGAGGCAGATGACAGTATCAGGCAAAATGCACGGATATGTAAGGATGTACTGGGCCAAGAAGATACTGGAATGGACAGAGGACCCTAGAAATGCAATTAGGATTGGAATAGAAATGAATGATCAGTATTCGATAGATGGAAACGATCCTAATGGATATTTGGGAGTGATGTGGAGTGTTTGTGGATCGATGGATAGAGCATTTGCTGAGAAGCCTATTTATGGAAAAATCAGATCAATGAAGTCATTTAAATGCCCATTGTACATTGATACGTGGACCAAAAAGTAACTACATTTACCGCCATCTGTTTAACTTTAGATGCTGTTTTACAGTTAATTTTCAACGATAGTTTAGAATAGACATTCAATGCATAGTATCCAAATGGCTGATAAGTTATTACAGAGTGAGACTAAAAACTCACTTATCGCATCAACAGACCGAGTAGTTTTACAATACATAATTTAATAGTATTTAAAAGCGCCGCTAATTTACAGAATGCCACCGATCGTATTTTTTCTGCAACGGTGGTTTTCTTCGTGAAGAGTCTCAAGAACAACATTAAATACACGGGAAAGTACAAAGACTTTTGAAAGCTTTCTAAAATTTTGCCTAGTTACGTTTAAACTGTTCCTTATTTGTGTATTTTTTACTTCCTTGTCGATAATTTTGCACATTTTATTTACAAATACAGGCTGAAGTCCGTCAAGATCAGCAAATAGGGTTTTGACAACTTCATAGTCAAGCTGCAGTCTATAAGCTGCAGCATCTACTGGCACGTCTTCCACATAAAACCGAACAAGAGTGTAGAGCTCTGTAAATGGGATTCTGTAGTTTGAGGCCCATGTGTTTATTCTTATGGGCTTACGCTTTCGGCATTTTCTGCAGACCCATCGATAGTGGTCTTTCCTGCTACTATCCTTGTGAATAACCATGTCACTCGTGCAGTTTGGACAGATTAATTTGCTGGGAAACAGATTTTTGGCTTTGAGTGTGTGAACAATATCTTCTATGTTTAGATCATTTTTCCATTTCAGTAAATGGAACATGTCTTCTCCCATAGGGGGTTTTAAAAAATTTTTGAAAGAGCAGGCTAAATATATCATGGACAGTAATAGAGAGCAGAAAAAGTAAGTTGTCGTGATGTAAACATTCTGTTCAGTAAAATTTTAGAAAAGTAGCAATGCTGTCGCCAAGATAAGGATAGCCTATGCCTGAACATATTTGTATTGACGAAATGCTTGTTTTATACGTTGAATGGCGCAGAATGCTGTGACAGCTTATAAAATTTCTCAATATCACTAAAGGATAAAAATTGGAGAACTTGTAACACATTTCTAGCCTCAACCATCCAGCAACATCATGCCACACAGATATTTACAGCTTGTATTTTAGCTACTTGTATGTCGCTGTTTATTTTTACCCCATATGTTTTCGATCGAGAAACCATTGAATCCAACAAGAACTCTCATCATTGCTGGATTTTGCGATTCCCAAGAGCTTGAAGAATACAAAAATAGTGTTTACAATTCAGAGAAGATGGTCGAATATTACACCATCCCACATCACAACGTTCTTTTTCTGGTCTTCTATGATCTGAGAGAATCTGTGAAATTTTACAGCAACTTCAAGCATGAAGAGCTGGGCATCAGCTACTCAATTTCAAAGCATGAATTGCCAAAGAGAAACGAAGAGTGCACAGAAAAACATCTTCAGGGCTCTGTCATATTCTTTTTTAAAAACATTGATGTTAAGATTGAGGATAACTTTGTTATCAACTTTCTGAAGCAATATGGTGAGATCAAGGCACTGAAGTATTCATCCACATACCAGAAAACAATAGAATTCTTTGATATCAGAGATGCCAGGAAGGCGTTTAATGCGCTTAACGGTTCACCATTTGGCACTGGGGAGATTAGCTGTTTCTGGGCATGGGATATTCCTGTTGGATCAAGAGTTGAATATATAAGGCTAGCTGATGAGCTCATCAGGCAAGGAGGCAGTGAAGCATCACCAAAGAGAGCGAGGATTGAGATAAAGTCCGATGCAAAAGTTGAAGCCAGTTCTAAAAAGAATATGTTTGTTGCAGCTTTTGACAAGTTTATAGTAGAGAATATTATGGAAATCGAAAAGATGTTTAGATAGCCAGATTTACTCCTCAATAAAGATCAAGTTGAGCAAGGATATTAGTGTGAATAAAATGTTTAGGCCAAAATCAATACAAGCTAGCGTATTCATTAGTACATAGTATCATTTTGATGACTTTTTATCTAAATATCTTGTTTTGTATCCAATAGTGTTCTATTTCGTGTCAAATCCTTTAGGGATCTCAGAACTACATCAGTTATATCCTGCTAAATTTTTACTTTCGTTTGCATTTCTTGAAAATTTTTAAAAATTTTAGACCCTCGCAGATGCAAATTTTCATAAAGTCACCAAATGGTCTTAAGACGGTCGAATTTGATAATTCTATGACCGTCGGTGAGCTGCAAGCTCATGTTTCCTCTGTTTGCGGCTTTGAGTATACTTTTTCGCAACCGCCTTATCTCTGTGCCGCCAGAGTTTTCTCTGAGAACACCACGTTCAATGTACACATTCCCGTACTTGGTGGATTTAAGGATCTGACTGAAGAGGTGAAGGAACTGGCACGTAATCACATTATGGTTAAGATATGCAGAAAATGCTATGCTAGAAACTCTATTAATGCCGAGAGATGCAGGAAGAAATATTGTGGACACTCGACAAACCTCAGACCAAAGAAGATGTCCGGAAAGAAAGTTTAAATAAATTGTTTTGCGGAAAGACATATAATGTAGAACTGTGTTCAACATCCTGATATTAAAGTGTGCAACTGTTGGTAAGGTATGCCCAGAAAGTGACACAAAGCTAGTTAATTAAACGTAGCTGTAGTGTAACATGTCAATCTATCTTGCACTGGATCTACTCTGCTGCACAAATGCTCTACAAGGAGACAAATCTTTTGTTTTGAATTTCGAAAATTTTTGACCCTATGGAACAACCAGATCATCAATCCCTATTTCTGTACAACACTTTAACCAAAAAATGCGAAAAGTTTACTCCAAACGAGGGAACTACCGTAAAAATTTATATCTGTGGCCCAACCGTCTACGATTCGCCGCACATAGGACATGCCAGGACATACATCTCATTTGACATAATCAGGAGAGTCCTGAGAGATTATTTTAAATATGATGTGATGTTCGTAATGAATATCACAAACATTGATGACAAAATAATTAAAAGAGCTGCAGAGAAAAATATCTCATGCGAAGAACTGGGCATGATCTATGAGAAAGAGTTTCTTGATGAAATGGAAAATTTAAATGTTCTTCGACCCGATTTCATCACAAGAGTTACTGAATATGTTCCTGAAATTGTCAAGTTTATTGAAAAATTGGAAGACAAGGGCATGGCATATGAATCTAATGGGTCGGTATACTTTAATCTAACAAAGTACAAGGAAACCTTCAAATACAATCTACTTAGGCCAGAGACTACAAACGAGGAAGAAGAGGATAACTCAGAAAAGAAATCGAGGGAAGACTTTGTGCTCTGGAAGGCCTCCAAACCGGGAGAACCAATCTATGAGAGCAAGTGGGGAAAGGGCCGACCTGGATGGCATATTGAATGCTCTGTCATGGCATCAGAGATTCTTGGCAAGAAGCTCGATATTCATGCCGGTGGCATTGATCTCGCATTTCCACACCACGAAAACGAAGTGGCTCAGTGCCAAGGCTATTTTGGGGATTCCTGGGTGAAGTATTTTCTTCATACTGGCCATTTGAACATTGATGGATTGAAAATGTCCAAAAGTCTCAAGAATTTCCTAACCATTAGGGATATTGTGCAGGCAAGCTCTCCCCTTCACTTAAGAGTGTTGTTTTTGCAACACCAGTGGAATAAGGAAATGAACTATGATCAGGATCAGTTAAAAGAGGCAGATGCCATTCTTAAGAAGATATTCAACTTTGTTTCCAATGCTGAATCACTTGTTAAAAGAAATGATGCCAGACCACTCAACGATCTTGACAGGAAGCTCATTTTTGATCTTGAAGCTTCCCGAGAAGAGGTTAATTCGGCGCTGAGAAATAACATTAACACAAGCAAGGCATTAGATGTTCTGCTCGATCTTATTTCAAACGTGAATATTCATCTGAAAATAGCTCACACTGATGTTCTTAGGCTACTTCTTAATTTCATTTTGCAAATCTTGGGTATTTTTGGAATTTGCCAGAAAAAAGACGTCAAGAATGAAGATGAAAAGATAGCCGAGCTCCTAAGTAGTTTTAGAAATGAGATAAGGATAGCACTTAAGAACAAATCAGACAGCAAAGGGTTGTTTGAAATATGCGACAAGGTCAGGGAATCAATCAAAGAGTTTGGATATGTTATTGACGACAGTCAGTCAGGGTCTGTTTTAAGAAAAAGCATGTAAGAGCACGATGAACCATTTATTAATAAAAACACTCCCTGCCAGTTAGTTGTTTGCCATTGTTTAGAGTAGTATTAATGTGTAAAAGTAAAAAGTACGCAATGGTTAATACATTGTGAACTACGGTTGCTTTTACTTTTATTTATTTTCGCTGTTGTAAAGATTGCACAAATGATTCATTAGGACTTTTTCGTCCTCTTTCTTGCTTTCCAAAATCTCAAGTAGCCGTTTCTTCTGATCAGTCACAGCATTGAGGTTTTTAGCTATTTTTCTGAGAGAAAGATTCTCAATTGGCTCATAGATTGCCTCTCCAGACAGGTAGGCTATCTTGTTCACGATGCTTATTGGGTTTGAGAACTTTTCACTTATCTTGTAATGTTGTGGCATGGGCTTGGGGGCATTAGTGGCTTAAATGGGCAATGAGTATGACCTGCTGAAGTAGAAGAGATAATAGTGGTGATCACCAGAACTTATCTAGTTGCGATGACTTAATATATCAACACTTCTACCATATCTGGCAATATTCGGCGAAACTTTTGTCGAAACGTGTGGTGGTGTAGAGCTGCTACAGCTTACTCTAAAATGGTATTAAAGTAGAAGCTACCAATTACTTATTTGGTATGCCTGGCAATGTAAAACATCACAGCCAAAACTAATGTATTTAGTTAGATACATGCCTGTCTACAGCCTCTTCTTGCATACACATTGGATATTGCAACGATGCCATAGATTTGACTGTCATAAATTAAAATTTCAACATGGCATGTGGTTTATAATTAATTTATATTTTGGTTAAATTTTCTGTAAAACACTCACCCATGAAATTTGCTTTTTCCAAAACGCATTTACTGTTTGCATGTGCCATATTTCTACTTCTTGCATTATTAGTCTACATTGCCATGAGATTTCGACTCTTTAGCAAAATTGAAGTAAAGGAAATGGCCTTGGGCTCTGGCATCCTTGTCTTTACTCCTTACCGAGGGAGCTATTCGAATGTCTCCGAAAAATTTGCACAGGCTATGAAGGATTTCTCGGAGTTCTTTGGTAAAGATGTACGGTATTTTGGTATCTACTACGATAACCCCAGCCAGTTGGTTGATCCAAATGAAGGCAGGGCCATCATCGGTGCGTGTTTTGATGAAACCAGAAATCTGGAAAGCTTTATTAATAAGCATAAGAACTATCGAACTGTCGAATTTAAGAACCTCAAAGGATTCGGAGCCACATTTCCTCTTTATAACAACTTTGATTTACTTGTGGCCGTTGTTAGGGGATATCCTGCCATAAGGGCATATGGAATCGAAAAGAAGCTGATGGACAGATGTCTCTGTTCCGTTGAATTTTATGATAATTCAAGGGGCACACTTACTATCGCCTTTCCTTATCATGAAAATAATGAATCGATCCTTTATCAGACAGGATATCCCGTGCCTGTAATAAAAGATGATCAAAGTGTAAAGAGGAGTGTACTTAAGAAAGATGAGTAGTGTTTTAATTAAATTAATATCGTAATTAATTACTATTCTGAAAAATCAAATCGCTCACCGTTTATAAGCTTTAGGTAGTCTTCCACACTCATCTCAATGGAGGCAGTCAAAGAACCTGCGTTGAAACATATTGTATTATTTTCCAGTATTGAATTGTCCAGGAAAATGTCAAGTGGAAGAATAGGACGCCCAAAGGGTGGTATGCAACCTGGGACAAGACCCGTCAATGCTTTTAACTCTTCATTGTTAGCAAATCTTACCTTCTTACTACTAAATCTTGCCTTTATTTTCTTAAAGCTTATTATTTTGGCAGCGCTTAGCACAAACAGCTTAAACTCATCGTTTATTTTGAGTATCATCGCCTTTCCGCCATCCTCCAATCTCTCATTTCGGAGCTTTGCAACGTCCTTCGAAGCACCTGCAGGTTCGTGGTAATCAATCTTGTAGATGGTTTTGTTATCACTTAGCATATTCTTTATACTTTCAAGCACTCTTGCAGAATTTTTCTGATATTCTAAGTCATTAACAGCATCTGTTTTAACCTCAATCATTTGTGGGTAAACAACATTTTAAGTTTACAGAATCAAGCAAAAATTTTGTATCAAAGCTGGTAAGCAGATGTGTTGGGGCAGTAGAGTATGCTGGAGACTTTATGCATTTAGAGATAGCATGGCACATGCAGACCTTCTCATCACAGATGCACAGACTGTGTTTAAGGACACACCTGTATATATTCTCAGCTAGCCACCAATTTTCTTCTGGAAGATATCTTCTTGCTGATGAGCAAACAAGTTAGCATGCCTAGGTTGCCATCTTGTTCTTTTCAGCTCTCCTTTTTCTTAAAATTTTTATCTTGACAAAATTTTCACCCTCCATGCCACAGCGATACAACTGCGACATTATAGATCCGGCAAACACCGTAAAGGCTGCCCTCCACAATGCTAGAGTATCTTTCAAAAAGACCCGCGAGACCTGTTCTACACTCAGAGGAAGGACAGTAGATGGATGCATTGCTTATCTTGAGAATGTTATTGGCAAGAAGGAATGTGTTCCGTTCAGAAGATATCGCTACGGTGTTCATTCTACGCCACAGGCACGTGCATTTGACGGAAAGTATCCATGCACCAAGGGGAGATGGCCAATTAAAAGCTGTGAGACAGTCATTAAGCTTCTGAAAAACATCAAGGATAATGCTGTGCAGAAGAATCTAGATGCAAGGGAGCTGATCATAAAGATGATATCTGTGAATAAAGCGCCAATTATCCACGGAAGATGCTTCAGAGCGCACGGCAGAGTGAATGCATTTAACAAGAGCCCATGCCATCTTCAGGTTGTTTGTGTGAAGAGATCTGAGAAAGTGCCGGTGGATGCATCTATTGTCGAGGTAAGGGAGGAATAAATATTTTCTTTATTATTTGCAGAAAAGCCTTTCGTCTAGCAATATGAAAGACTATTTGGGTGGTGGACAACTGTTTCAAATAGGTTATCACAGTATATTTGCACATAATGATATATAAAAATCAGCTTTATGGGCAAGTAGTTGTTGGGCATATAGTATGCCATGGGTTTTGATGGGTCTTCTGCACATTGCAGTAGTTCTTGAACAAGCTTTATTTGCATTGTATTTGTATTTCTGTGTTGTTTGTTTTAAACCCATGCTCTCGCAGGCAAGTACATTTTCACTTGAAAACGATTACAGCATAAACAAGAAGACTGTTCCAGAACCATTCAAAGAGGAACAAATAAAGCTAAGTAAGAACGAAGCTAACTTTATCAATGAGGAAGGATGCTCCTTTGCCTCTCCTAGGTTTGTCTATTTGCAGGATGTCTTACTCAAAAGTAAAGATAGGGAAGTCTCGGAAGAAGACCTGTATGAAAACAATGGAGGCACCTCCCTTGTTGTAACCACAGATAACAAAATAATCATCGCTAGCGACACCAGACATAGCTCCGACTACACCATAAACTCCAGAAAAATGACTAAAATATTCAAGATAGGAGAATTCTATCTTGCTACCACAGGATTCTTTGCTGATAGCTTTGAAGTTTATACAAACTTAATGTATCAGGTAAAGCAATACGAAACATACAGCAGAATCACCCTCAAGGCATTGGCACATCTTCTCCATAACCTGCTATATTCTAAAAGGTTTTTTCCATACTACTCATATGCTATTTTATGCGGGTTTGACAATGGCACGGCGACAGTTTACTCTTATGATCCTGTAGGATCGTATGATAAGACTCGATGCAGATGCAATGGCTCAAGCTCTGTTATGATACAGCCATTGCTGGACAGCTGGATTATGGGAAAGAACTTTAAGGACTTCAAAGAACCATCATTCTCAGAGACATTGGAACTTGTAAAGAAGGCCTTTGATGCAGCCTCCGAAAGAGATGTGAAAACGAAAGATTATTTAGAAATCTATGTTATTGAGAAAGACTCAATGTCGCATGAGCTTATACCACTTCGAAAGGATTGAATAAATCAGGCTAAAATTTATGCTTTAGTATTCATTTATAGAAGTAAGGACATTTAACTAAAGGAGTGGCAATTATAAACTGTGTTAGCATATTGCTGGAAGAAAGGCCAGGTGGAAGCATCTAATCAGCTGCCGACCACTTATGGCCTACTTTATAACATGAAGAGCTGTCCCGAAAGATATGTATGCATTCTACAGTTACATTAACAGGTAGTAATAGATCAGTATATGTTTTTGTGGCGGACAGTTTTCTATGGCCTTACATATCGCTTTCCATTAAATAACGAATATTAATTCATAACGTCACATTCTACTTTAAACTTATATTTATGCTTTTTTCCATCCACCCATGTTTTTGTTTGTGCTACTTGTACAGGCTGCAACATTTATCAACCAAGTTGCTGTCGAATACAAAAAGACTCCACTCACCCGCTCTGCATACAATTTATTTGGAATCACTACCTTAAAGGCGCATGGACATGTTTCTTTCTGCACTAGGGATGGAGATGTTATGCTCAGCGAGATTCACTCACCCTCTAAAGTTCATAATATCCACCTGTTTATTGAAGACAGGGGCATTCTAGAGAACAGCTCCTTTGTAAAACAAAACAGCCGAACGAAAGAGTTCTTTATTGAGAATTTGGATGCACCAGTTGATCGTATTACACTTTCCAGCCTTTACTTCAGGAGGATTCTTGAAAAGGAATATCCGAGCATCAAAAGTTCGCCTGTGTCGCTAGTTGTCTCAGGTAGAGACTATTACACACCAGAGCAATCTATGGATCTTGCGACGGTCTTTTCCTCAATTAGCAGTGATGTAAAGGTCATTCCAGAGTCTCTGGCCGCTTGTATAAAGTACTCGTGCGAAATGTCTGACAATACAGAAGAAAAGCACTTTTACTTGAACTTGAGAGGCTCTAAACCCGTGTGCTCTTTGTACTCCATCAAGAAAGAAGAAGGCAAGACAACTATTATGTATGAAGAACCAAAGGACTTAGAAAACTTCGAGTGTATTGCTGACTATGAGATTGAGGCTGAGGTGGCAAAGTATGTCATTTCCAATATTAAAAGCGACGATACCTGGAGGAATGTGGCATTTTTACCCTTTGAGAATGGCACTGACAAATCACATTACGCGGATGTTCAACAGAATGTCAGTGATTTTATCAAAAATATGAGCGATGGATTTGATACTCTGAACATTCTCCAAATTCTTATTAGAAAGATATCAGATGATAGCCTGGATGGAAGTATCATTGAGAAAAGCCTTGATATTGAGAAATTTAAATGCAACTTCAACAGCATGGGATGTAGCAAGATGCCCACCAGTATTCCGGAAGGATACAAAAAATATCTTATTAGTGATATTAAGAGAACCGATGCATGTTTTGAAGGATTCTTTGAGGTTCCATATGATCGTGTTCTTGATGGATTGCTGCAGGCGCATTCACCAGCCTTCGTGCTGAGTGATCCTAGGGTTGTTGTTAAGGGACATGCGACATCAGTAGCTCTGGATAAAATTGAAGGTGAGCTGAGCCTAAGAAGAACAGTTCTAAAAGATATTGTTCAGAATTTTTCTGAACTTAGAAAGACACTTACATATGTAGAAGAAGCAGAGGTTGAGCCGATTTTAAGCCTGTTCAAAGAAGATCTTGCAAACCTTCATATACTTAAAGAGATTAAAAAAGCATATGAGGGGCTGCAGTCACTGAGTATCAAAAGAATAGCCAATGCTGTATTGAAAGACAGCTATCTGCAGGAGCTGAGAAATAGGATTTCCGAGGCAAAAGATTTGGAGAAGAATTTTCCAGAAGATGTTCCTGTAAGCTTCCGAGAGAACCTGGCAAGCTACTGTGCAGAAACAGAGAATTGGATCAACGCCAATGAATCAAAGGACGATGCTTTGTCGGAGATTCAGAGGAGATCATCAATGCTATCAGCTCATATTAAGCTTATTAGATCTACGGCCAAGAAGATAGAAGAGGAAAAAGCCATGCAGAAAGAACAGCAAACAGAAAGCAATAAAGATGAGAGACTTGGTGGAATTCCTGAGAAAGAGAAGGATGTTGCTACCGAGGCTGAAAAAGAGGAAGAAAAGAGAAAAACAATGGAGACCAAGCAGGACACTCTTTAAATAAATTTTCTATTATTAGTATGCCAATAACCAATATTATCTTGTATTAGATAGAAAACTGCTAAAGCAGGCATTTGTTCCATATACCATTTAAAACAATCGCTGAAAAACAGATTTTACTCACTAGCTACTTTATAGAATGATATGATAGCTTGACAGTTGGCTGAGCGTTGTTATTGGTTCTTCCAATTTCTAAACAATTAAATGACCAATAAACATGTCTGATACCTATGCACATATAGCCAACCAATTTACTATTTGTGAAATATACCTAATTGTCACCATCGTTCATTGGTATACTGAATAACCAATAAACACTGTTTTCAAATATTTTTAATACGCCAAGACCCCCTCAAACATGCATGGCAGCTTCAACAAATACCATGCTGAGGTCCTGAGAATTCTGGACAGATTCAAAAGAGCTTATGAGTGGTCGGATTTCATAGAACCACTCGACTCCCTCTGTACTGTTTTCAAAAAGTACAATGCAGGATACGTCCCCTGCATTCCACAGCTTGTAAAGCGGCTGAACCAGCTACTGAATCCTGCTCTCCCTGGAGGAATACATCTCAAAACAATAGAATGCTACAACGTAATGTTTGACTACATCAACCAGGAGAATCTGGTCAAGGACTTTGATGTTCTAACTGTAGGCTTGTTTAACTTTTCGACTAGCTGCAGAATTATTGTGGCAAATGAGTACTTGGATCTTTTGGAAAAAATCATTTCCCAGCTAGGATCAAAAATTGAAAGCTTCTCAAAGCACGTAATCTATGGGTTCCTTCCATTTTTAGAGTCTGAGAGTTCTGATTTCTATGGTAGAGCCTATCTTGCCCTTATTTCATTTTTAAACCAGGTTTCTGAAAAGGTGTTTTACACTGCGCTCTGGAAAAACTTTATCGACCATCAAGATCTGAGAATATCGATTCTTAACTTTTTACATAAATACAAGGTGGTAGCAATCCCCGACTATACTCTGGTAACTAAGGCGTTCTGCCTGGGTCTTGAGGGTGACAACCCATTCATTATCAGGCCCATTCTCGAAATGTCAAATCGTGATTTCCCATATACGATCGAAAGTATAACCCAGAATTTAAACGGAAAGCCGGAACAGCATGACGAGGAAGTAAAGAGCTATCCAACCATCGATGTCAAGCTATCTCCCAACCTAGCCTCAAGCTCTGACCGGAGCTCCGTCGAAGCATCCTCAGTACAGGTAGAGCCAAAAGTGCAGCAAATCATCAAAGACCTTATTTCGGAGCAAATGAACGATAGTGGCGATGCGCAAACTATGGAAATGGCAAGCAAAGACAAAGACCAGTGTAATGCAAGTATAATTAAGGGAGTTCTTAAAATATTTCTCAAAAAGGAAGTTGGAATGCATAGACGAGCCTATAAATGGCTAAATATTTCAGAAACAATCATGGACCGAGATGTTGATTATATCGAAAAAGGACTACGAACCTATTTGAGTGGTACTGAGGAAGATCTGTCAAGTTTCTTTAGGATTGCCAATGCGCTTGCTGATAAGGAGAATTTGACAGTGTTTCTGATGGAGAGATTAATTTTAGATGCAATACAGATTATGATGAAAATTGATGAGAGAAAGAATGTGGAAAGTTTCTACTTTGTTAAGAAGAACATAAGAACATTTTTGAATCACTCTTTGGATGAATTCTACAGGGTAGTTTACATGAAGCTCAATAGGATTTTCAGCGAATCAGATGAAATGGATAAAACTATTGAAGACTATAGCGATTTTGATATTGAAGGCACTTCGAGCGATAGCATGACTTTTAAGAGCTGCTATACTCTTGACAGGCAGGGCTTCAATGCTGCCGAGCAATTGATAAAGCTGATTGTATATTCGTTTGAGGTTTTGGATGCAGTGGACTCCAACGTCACATCAATCCATATTCCTCTATTGTGTCACTTGATCATCCGAAACAAGAGAAGAATATCCCATGGGCTATTTTCTAGTTTTCTAGACATATTCCTGGAAAGATGTGAAGGGTCTTTGAGCCTAGAGTCGAGAGAGGTTTCCTGTAGTCTTGTCAACTCATTCTACCAGAAGGAAAGTCCTAACGAACTATTGGAAATAAGCCTAGTCGCTGCCCTGGCGAAGGAGCTAGGAAAGCTAGAAATTTACACCGAAAGTAAAGAAGATTCAATATTATGGGCAGACTCGAAGCTTACTATTCAAAATGGAGTTTTGGTTTGGTCAGAAACGAGGAATATTCACAAGATTGACAGACCAAGAGAAAGCTATTTTAACTTTGATGTTGACGATGTGCAAATTATACAAAAGTTTATCCAAAAGCATGGCCACAAAGATTTTCCTGAGGCTTTTTTGCAAAACCTGGGGAAATATCTGGCATACAACTACAAGTTCATAGATCTAATCAACTCTGTCAGCTATTATGTTGACTACTCCCTGCTTCGAGTCAATCTCTGGAACGACTTTGTTTTATCTAGGAGTCCTAAGTACCTTATGCATTTTCAAGAGGAATTTCTTCTTCCGTTTATTCTTGAAATTCTTCCAACAGTAAATCTTAAAGACATCTGTCTGTTCCTGGAGGAGTCTCTGAACATTGGAAAGTACTATGAAGTTCTGTTTAGGGTAGCCACTATTGTAGACCAGAAGTCATCGGACTTTGTCTCTCTTCTTTTGAGTCTAAACGACACTGCTCCTTTACTCAAGAGCATCCTAGACAGATATTACTTAGACTCCGACTCTTCAGATCCGTATAAATATGATACAACCATTGCCATTTTGTTCTTGCTTCAAAGCTTAGTTGAAAATGAAAATTTTCTAAGGATTCTTTTGGCCAATACTGTTATTACACTTGATAAATACGGCGACATTGGATCACAGGAAGCATTATCAAGCATGCTATTCACAGCCATGACAAAAAATAGGGAAAAGAGACATACTGTATTGGAAAAGGAGCAGCTAGAAAAGAACAGCTCAGTTATATTTGATTACAAGAAAGACGAGACTGTTCATGATAACTCATCGGCAGCCAACTGCCAGGACTTGAGTTGCAATGATAGTGTAAAAAAGGAGCATCAAGTGTTGAACTACACTAATGGCGTAAACATTGAGCAGTCACTGAGGCTTTTGAACATCAACTCAACCGTCAATAACTACAATAGAGTTTATAGGTTTATTTTCAACATTCTGTATAAACTACACAAGAAATCAGTTCGTATTAACACTCTTGAGTTTCCCAAGTTAAAAGCATTATTATAGAATGCAAAAATGATTTTTACATTATAAAAAGAAGCATATTTCTTGTGGTGATGACATATCTTTTATTTACGAGAACTGCATGCACTTTTACAAACCAATCCTTGCTCAAATTAGCGACATGCCCATCAAAGAATCGTTCTTTGCTTATTTTATTGATCCTGGAACAAAATGCTCAGTAGACACAATGTTAGAGGCCTTGCAATACATTCTTCCAATTAAAAGCATCAAAAAGGATGAGCTGTTTAGAAAGTGTTTTTTGATGATGGCAGAGGAGTGTAAACGATTCTGTGCCATTTATAAAAAAATAAAGGGATATTATAGAAGAATTGATAAAAAATATTTGATGGATGAGGATGGCAGCATTCCAAAGGAAAATGAAGAGGAAGACCCCCTTTTGGCATCAAAATTCAGCTTTAAAGCAAAGATTACCGAGTCTGAGCTAAGCACACTTGCTGATCTTGATGACAAGACAAGTCTTCCATCACTTGTGCTGGTCAGATGCTGTGGGCTTGAAAATGTAAAGTCGCTAGCTGAAAATCTTTTTTCAAAAAACCCAATGCTTTTTGTAGGCTCGATGCCTAACAACTACACGGCCCTTTATCTCTTTGGCGCACTTCCCTTTAAGGCTGAGCTATATGAAAAAATTTTAACATCTATTAAAAGCACAAAACTGTCCACAGAGATTTTCCAAATGCTAACAAAGCTTCTGCCACTGGAAATTAAAACAGACATTATCCGGGCTAAAGCCGAGTACATCAAAAACACTTTTGGGATGCATGAGCCCAATGTAAAAACAATGAAGATGCTGCTCGAGTTGTTTAAATACACGCCATCCTCTGATCTCCTAAGAATCATTATTTCTAATATCATTCACTCTTTGATTGTAAAAGCCGAATATTTATTGAGATACCCAAATACAAGTTTTGATGAGGAAATTAAGATATTAGAAAAGATCATAAAAACACCATCCTTTAGCTCTTGTGCCATAAATCTACTCAAAAATTGCTGTTTCACCATTCTTACTTCAAAGGAGTATCAGGACAAAGCTCTGGAATTGGTCCATATGTACCTTCAGTGCAATCCCAACTGTAAAGTTTTCATCGATGCATACATCAATTACTTTTACAGGAATTTCTTTGACTTTGGAGTATTAATTAAGATGAAAATATTTGAGGTGATATCATCCTCACCAAGCTTCGATGCATTTGGCATAATCAACAGTCTTATAGCTGGCATGGAGCCCTCAATCTTCTCAACTGTGCAGAGCGAGGAGCTTCAAAGAATCAACAATTTGAAGAGAATGTCATTTTTAATACTATCACAGCCAAGAAACAAGTTTTCTTCAATGAGCGATATATTTGTAAAAATTATTAATGATCTAATCAACTCCACACCAGAAATAAGGATTGAGCTGATTAGATTCTCAACCATTCTTATGCTCAAAGTTGACAACCATTATCTTCAGACACTCTTTCCAATTCTTGTGGCCGACTTTATGATTTCAGTTTTTACAAAAGATCTGAGAGTGGTTAAAGAAATCTTCAGATTTGTGGATGTTTCAATATGGCTCAACTCGTCTGTTTTTACTTTTAAAGTACTTTTCGGTGAAAATCATACATTTTACAACCAGCTCAAGTCTCAGATTTTATATGAAACCCCAGACAAGTTGGAAATTGACTTGTCAGCAAGAAAGTTGCCAAACTTCTTAGTAATTGCATTCGATAAGATCTCATCCTGGAGCCAGCTCTCATTATATCTTAAAAATGCACCGTCATACTATAATTATATTGAGTTTCACATGGTTGAGAGGGATTATGAATGGGTTATTAGAGATATTGGGCTTTCATATGGAGACAATTGACATAAATAAAAAGATATTACCAACTTACGTTTTAAGCGAGCAACTGTCGTTATCTAGTTGATACTGACCATGCGACGTTTGTATTGCTCACCGACAATCTGGATAAGCTAGTTGATGTTATCTGAGATTCTCATTTGTTTAAGCTGGTTTTATGATCCCTTAATGGACAGTAGAAGTGATAATGCTGCTGTGGAGATGGCCATTGAGAAAATCACAAAAATACTAGATATTTCAAAAGAAGAGGCTGTGAAGATTGTCCAGCAAGCATTTGGTCAGGAAGATCCGTTTTCGTTTCTTTCAGATCTTCTTGGATATGCCAATATAGATCTAATTTTTGAAATTTATAGATTCAAGGACACATTCATAGAAAAAGAGTATATAAACGAACAAGCATTGTTTGTAGAACACATAATGCCAGAAAGCTCATCAGTACATGGCAGCAGTGCATCCACCGATAGACTTGTAAAGACGTCGATATTGGGCGATAATTCAAAGTACTTTTCCTATGAAAGATTCAATCCAGTGCAATCTGCTGTATTTCAAGATGTTTACAATTCTGATGGGAATGTACTTGTGGCTGCTCCAACTGGCGCTGGAAAGACAGACATTGCTTTGATGAGTGTACTACGAGCCTTGAGGCACAGGGATTCACAAATCATTTACATAGTTCCCATGAAAGCATTAGCCTCGGAGATATGTTCAAAGTATTCGAGATTACTAGGAAAACAATACTTCATTATTGAGTACACGGGCGACACTGAAGTTGACAGTAAAACTGCTTCAAAGGCCAGAGTTGTGATCTGCACTCCCGAGAAGTTTGATGTGGCCACAAGAAAGCTCTACTGTGTATTTCAAAATATTAGACTAGTGATTATTGATGAAATTCATTTGCTGGAAGATGACCGTGGACCAGTAGTCGAGGCAATTGTGGCACGGATGTTTAAATTTTCAGAGCTAAGGCAGACGTTTATCAGAATCCTCGGGCTTTCGGCCACCCTTCCTAACTACCAAGACGTGGCTGTTTTTATTAAGGCCCAGCATGTGCATTTCTTTGGCCAGATGTATAGGCCAGTGCCTTTGAAAATGACTGTTACTGGCTTTACCAAAATAGCTAAATATACGGATGAAATGAACTATCTCCTCGACAAGACACAAGAGTTTATAAACGGAAGCAAGCAGATACTGGTATTTGTCCATTCAAGAGCAAAAACACATAAAACTGCCAATTTCCTCGCACAAAATTTGCATCAGAGTGATGATGGTTCTATGACAGACTTGGATGTTGAAAGCATCAAAAAAAGCACTAAAAATTCAACCAGACCTAACGTGTTATCAAACCATGAACTTAATATGCTTGTTTCAAAGTCGATTGGAGTACACCATGCAGGACTCTCAAAGTCTAGAGATCACAGATGGAAATGCTGTTCAGTCAAGGAGTAATTAAGGTTTTAGTGACTACATCTACTCTTGCTTGGGGAGTAAACCTGCCTGCATATGCAGTTATTGTACATGGACATACATTTTATAATCCGCATCTGGGCCAGTTTTCGGATATTTCAATACTGGATGTTTTACAAATATTTGGACGGGCAGGCCGGCCCCAATATGATACAAAAGGCGAAGCCATACTCATGACCACATCAAAAAAGATGGATCAGTACGTCGGATTGCTCAAAAGAAGCAAGGATATAGAGAGCAAAATGCTTTTTCATGTTCCAGAAAACCTGAATAGTGAGATTTACTTGGGCCACGTGTCATCGATTGCGACTGCCTTAAATTGGATAAAGCACACATTCTTATATGTCAGAATGATAAACAATCCAGTAAAGTACGGTGTTTTGTCCGAAGATGTGGGGCTCGAGGAGCAGGCACTATCGGAATACATCTATTTGACAGTTAGAAGACTTGAAGACTGTCAACTGATAAATATTGACCGAAAGGATTCAAACTACAACACCTGGACATTCAAATCGACATTTTACGGACAAGTCTCTTCAATTTATTATTTAAGCCACCTTACAATGTATACTTGGCTTAGTGATGTTGAGTCGGTCAATGACGAAGTATCATTGATCAGCCTACTGCTTAGATCAGAAGAGTTTAAGCAAATATCAGTCAGAAAAGAGGAAATAGGCTATCTTAATGCTCTTCACGAGGATCTTCTTCTCAGCTCTGTTATAGGCTTTGAGTTTGATGAAACTTCAGAATCAAAGCTGTTAATATTGTTCATTTCATTTCTTTGTTTTAAGAAAATGCAAACTTTTTCATTGTCCTGCGATACTGACTTTATTGTTGAAAACATGAAAAGATTAATCGCGGCAATGCGCGAAGTTCTACTGCATTTGAGAAGATATGATTTGCTTTTGATGGCACTTTTTTCTTGAAAAGAAACTTTACAAGTTCAAAAAGAAGATCATCAAAAATGTTTTGGTTAAGGGAATAAGAATCAATAGTGACTTTGTTAGCATTCAAATCAAGAATGTGGAGCCTTCTACTGTATTCATCTTTGATAAAAATAGAGTCTTCCATGCTTTCCAGACAGGTAAATCAATTAATCATATTTTTAGATGTGATATTGGCCGATTTAAGGTTATAGTTCATACAAATAACCAATGGAACAGTTTTGAGACAGATGTTGATCTAGTGCACGACTATAGCCCTTCAGGATTATATAATTATGGTATCCACTGTTGTGATTCCTTATTCTATCTGTCAGGTAAAAGAACAAATTGCGTGCACTTTCAGGATAGCTCGCTAACTCATAAAACGAAGGAATGCTTAATTTTAGATTCGAAATTAAAAGCAATAACAGAGGAAACATACAATAATGTGGTTGGCGAGTCTTTTGTGATCAATATGCGTTTTGTGGAAATTAAAACCAACCATTTTAAGGAAAGGTTGAGATTGATGACAAATCAAATAAGTAAGGTAAAGTTTGAGAGTTTTCTGATTGTTTGTCCATCAAATTCAGACGCAAAGGAAACACATACGCTTTTGAATACACAAGCTGCTCTTGAAAGTCATCTTGCTGTTGCAAAGTATGAAATTGGACCCAGGCCAAGCATAAACAGTAAATTCTGGATATGCTCATTTAAAGAAGCGTTGGGCATTGCTGGTTTTGAAACAGTTATTTTAAAAGGCATTGGAAATGCAGAGGAACTTTTTCCTATTTTTGAGGTCTTGAAGATTTGCAATAGAAGAAAAGCCATAGTTTATGATAGCCTTAACAATATTGAGTATTTAAAATCCATAACTTCTGAAAGCACAGTACATTAGCTGCATATTAGAAGACGTGTTGTATAGAGAACTAAGTATTGTTGAACAAGGATAGAGGAAACACATAATTCAAAATTAAATTGCACGTATACAAGTTTACGTTAAAAAGAACAGCAAAGCGTTTTAATACTTTTCAAGCTTAATTGCCAAAGCAATCCAATTTTACAAAGTATTGGATTTACTCGCTTTTCGAAACGTGAATAAACGTCTTCTTTATCTTGCCTTTTCTTTTCTCTTCATTCTTTCATAGAAATCGAAGAGCACAGTCACCAAAATGGATACAAACAGACAGCCACCACATAGCATTATATCTATGGGGCTGAGCTTTTTTACTTGGAAGAAGCTCAGAGCTGCTTGATTTCCTGAAAATATTAATCCGACTACAACTATAGAAAATAATACACACAATATGAATATTGAAATAAAAAGACAGTTCTTACGAACAGATTGTCTATGTGGTCCGAAGTCTGCAAACTTCAGAGAACGATAGACTAGAAGTGTCATGGTGCATATAAATATAACAGCAGAATTCTTTGATTCCAATATTACTTCGCGTGTCTGTAAACGCTGAGGATTGCCGAAGCTTACAAAGTATGAAGTAAACGAAAAAACAAGAAGAATTAAACTGAGCTCAAAAAAGAGATGCGTAGCATCAGACCTAAGATCGATGGATATCTTCTTGGAGTAGATTTTGTTTGCTGCTTTGAAATTTGAAAGAGCGTATGCCAGAACATAGCAA